TATTTAATAGTCATCACTTTCCCTATTAAGCCTCTTTTTCTTCCTGACAGAATTAATCAGTACCCTTTTTTTCTGATTCTGTTTCTTCTGTTATTATTTGCACCACACTGTATTGCACTTATTATTTACGTATTTCTATTATTATTATTATTTATGTATTTCTGCCCCACCAAGACCCAGACAGCACATATAAAGATGGGGTTTCTTTATATTTTCTGTCCCTCTTGGGGCCATAGTAGGCTCTCAATAAATGTTGTCTGATCAGAATTGCTTATTATATGTAATATTATATGGGTAGCACTGTAAGTACTGCCCATATAATATAAATAGTGCTTATTATGACATGCTAAAGTTTGTTAGACTTCCCATTCAGGTCTTTATTCTCAAAACCAGGGCTTTGCAAATGTCTCCTATAAAGGGCCAGATGGAGACATCAGAGGCTTTATGGGCCCTTCAGTGTGTGTCCCTGCCACTCAGTTCCGCCATCAAGGAGAGGAGAGGAATGCAGGTGGCTGTGCTCCAGTAACTTCATGTACAAAAAACAAGCAGCAGGCTGGATTTGACCAATTCCTGCCCAAATCATTGTTTCGAGGTGCAGAGGAGGAGAGGATAGAAATTCCAGCCACGAGTCATAATAATCACTACAAAGTTCCTTACAAATACTGAGAATGGGAATTGTGGTGGCTGCAACATTTTTGAGATATCCCCCAACTTTTCTTCCCTAAAAACAAAGAAGAAAGTGAGGTTTTTTTCCCCTTCTTTCTATCCTGCTTACCATGAAGACTAAGCCAGAGGACTACAGTGGCAAAGCAGGAGTAAAAGGATTAGAAATGCTGACTCGACAGAGGGGTGAAGTGAAACAGTGCGGAGGAAGGAGAGTGGAGAGGAGTAAATGTGGCCGACAGCAAGACATAAATGTGTTTGCCAACTCCTTCAGTGGTTGCGCCGTCAGGCAGACTGAAGAAAAGCAGGATTGTTCTTATTGCTCGTTCAGGATAAGAGAGAAAGAACATCATAGAGCAGTGGCCCTCACACGTGTGCTTGCATACTTCCTAAAAGAATTTTGAAAAGATATATATGGCTCCACACATTTCTAAATTGACATCTGAAATTTGTTATAACTAAGATGCAATTTTCATATTGTGAATAATGACTTTTCATTTTTATTTCTAATGTTGACACTATTCTAGATGTCCACACTTCCTGCTCCCCGCCTTCCCTTTGCCCTCCTCTACCCTGCCCCTGCCCCTGTGTCCATGGGCCATGCATATATGTGCACATGTTCTTTGGATAGTCTCTTTTCATCCCCCCACCCCTGCTCCTCTGACCTGTCAGTCTGCTCTACGTATCCATGCCGCTGGTTCTGTTTTGTTCATCAGTTTATTTTGTTCATCAGTTTATTTTGTTCATTAGATCCCACATGAAAATGAAATCACATGGTATTTGTCTTTCTTGGACTAGCTTATTGCACTTATCATGATGTTCTCCAGGCCCATTCATGCTGTCACAAAGAGTTAGAGTTCTTCTTTTCTATAGCCATGTAGAATTCTACTGGGGAAATGTACCACATCTTTTTAATTTTCTCATCTATTATGGGCACTTGGGCTGTTTCCAGACCTTGGCTATTGTAAATAATGCTGCTATGAGCATAGGGGTGCTCATGTTCTTTCTGACTGGTGTTTTGGGATTCTTAGGATGTATTCCCAGAAGTGGGATTGCTGAGTCAAATGGCAGTTCTATTTTTAGTTTTCTGAGGAAATTGCATACTGTTTTCCACAGTGGCTGCACCAGTCTGCCTTCCCGCCAGCAGTGCACTGGGGTTCTCTTTCCTCCACATCTTCGCCAGCCCTTATTGTTTGTTGATTTATTGATGGTAGCCATTCTGGCAGGAGTGAGGAAATAATGACTTTGGAAAATAAAAGTGTTATATCTCTCTTTTAATATATCCAATAGAATCTAAATTCATATAGTCGATTTTAAACTTTACTACTTTGAAATGATTTTAGGTTCACAGAAAAGTTACCAATATGATGCAGAGAATTCTTACACACCATTCACCCAGCTTCCTCTAATGGTACACTTCACATAACCAAAGAACAATCATCAAAACTAAGACATTAATACTGGTATAATACTACTAACTGAACTATACACTTTATTTTAATCCCAAATTTCCCATACTTCCCTTTTCTGTCTTGGCATTCAACCCAGGAGTCCACCTTGCATTTAGTTGTTGTATCTGCTTATTCTCCTCCAATCTGTGACATTTCCTCAGTCTTTCATGCCCTAATTGAAATTGTCGATTATTTTGTAGAATATGTCCCAGGTTGGATTTGTCTGGCATTTTAAAATGAGATTTATGTTGTTGGGGAAGATACTAAAGAAGTTGTGCTCATCTTAGGGCATCCTACCGGGGTACACGATACGGATATGACTGAGCACTGCATACGTTACCCTTGATCACTTGATTCAAGAAGCTTTTCAACTGTAAAGGTTGTACTTTCCCATTGTAATTAGTGACCATCTTGAGGGGGACACTTTAAGCCTACTCAAATGTCCTGTTTCTCCTCAAACATTCACATACTAATTTTAGCAGCTACTGGTGGATCTTGCCTACAGTAGTTATTACTATTGTGTTCACCTAATGGTTTTTGTTTTTCTCGTGTCTTCTACATTTATTACTTGAAATTCATCTGCGAAGAAAAACTTGCTTTTTCCCCATTTTTTATTTATGTTTATCAATATGGATTTAGTAGAAGCTTATTCTATGGGTTATAATCCAATACGATCATTATTTTGTTTGCTCAGATTGCTCCGGTGCTGGCCGCTGGGAGCTCCCTCCGCTTGTTCCTGTGTCTTTTGGACAGGCCTCCTCCCCCGGGGCACGCCCTCCTTTCCTGGCACCACAGGTAGTCCATTTTCATCACGTGGTTTTCCTGCTCCAGACCTGCAATCGGCCACTGCTCCAAGGAGCTCCAGTTCCTTTTACTGAAGACGCCAAAAACGATTTGAATCTCATCTTAATTTATTTAAAAAGAGAAAAACACACAAACTCTTTAACATTCAGATATTTTATTTCTTTTCTCCCTAGTCTTTTATTTCTATTCCAATCTCCCCACAGGATTTTATCCTAATTTAATGTTTTTTCTCTTGAAACTATTTTATTCATCCTCTTGTCATATTTTTCTACAGTAAAAAATGTATGTAAGTTAAAATGATTTTAAAAGATTTCCTGTGAACATAAGCTGTTATTCATTTTTTATATTGAGTTGTCATATAAATTATTATTGTTTCAATTATTATTAGTATACTATTGATCAGAACAACATAAATATACTATAACAGTTAAATAGTATATAGCAAACTGAAATGTTGTAGGTAATGCATGTCTTAATGAAACAATGTATCATAGGTAAATTCACATTAATTTAAAATTGTTCGAATGAGTCAGCATTCAGTGTGGACCCTATTCCTCCCCTTCCCAACCCCTTTTGGTCGTCATGTGTGCTGACAAACTCAGGGTAGAATTGCTGGTGCTCACTGTACGTCAGTTCTCTTCTCCTTCCTGAGTACAACGGGAGACCCTTCAGACTTCCTTAGTGAGGTTGGACCACGTGACTAGTTCCGGCCAATGGTATGTGAGCGGAAGTGCCATCCATGTATTGCTTCAGGACCCAGGGACTTTAGAGTTCTGTGCTAGCACTAGCATCACTGGATACCCCACGTTCCAGGGGGAGGAACGTACAGCCTAGATCTATGAGTTACTGTTTGTAAGTCAGTTGTGCCCGGAGAGCCAGTGAAGCCATAGCAGGCTTTGTACAGCCAAGAAATTAATTTCTGCATTTTGTTTTGAACCGTCAACATTAGAGTATCTGTACACTTCTACAACATACCCTAGTCTATCCTGATAGAGAGCTTTGTTCATATAAATAAGGAGGTGGGAATAAAAGGAGGTTTGTTATAGCAAGATAACTCCCTTATTTGAATTTTCTCATATGTGCCAAAAATCACCACGATCATACATTATTTTCATCATCTATCAACTCCCAATTTGACTATGTCCTCCTTGAATTTTGCTTAAAAAACTGGAAACACTCAACTTGCCAAAGAATCTGCTACCCCGTCACTAAAAGAATTGTCAATTGCCCAGAAGTAAAATTAGGAGGCTTTACTAAAAGGTTTTTAAAAAATCCTTACCTGATGACATATTTACCAATATTTTTAGAGAGAAAGGAAGACAGGGAGAGAAAAACACTGATGTGAGAGGGAGAAACATCGATTGGTTTCCTCCCTCACATGCCCTGACCAGGGATCGAACCCACAACCTAGGTGTGTGTGTGCCCTGACCAGGAATTGAACCTGCAACATTTTGGTGTATGGGACAATGCTCCAACTGACTGAGCTACCCAGCCAGGGCACTAAGATATTTCAAATGACCATTAACTATGGCTTTTCACTTATGGACATGATATACAAGGTTGGGAAAAATGCAATATTGTTAATTTCATTAGTTATGTCAATACTATTTTTCTATTAAAATGTTTTTATCTTAATAAGCACTTTAATCAGAACACTAGAGTTGCAAATTTACTTTATTCAATTAATGAAAAATATTCCTTATAGAACTTAATTGGTAAGGCCAATCCTCATTGTCAAACCCAGGAGCCAAATAAGACAGTGTTCAGAAAAAGTCTGATTTTATTTTTCAATTCAATAAGTATGCTAATACTCAGCCTCACTTAGAAATCTAGGAGAAGAGGGGAGAAGGTACAGAAAATAAGTAGCATAGACAGTAGATAGAAAATAGATGGGGGGGCAAGAATAGCATGGGAAATATAGAATCTAAAGGACTTGAGACACATGGTCATAAACTAAAGGGGGGGTAATGGTGGGGATGGGGGGTAGGGTGGAGGGGAATAAAGGGGGAATAGAACAACTGTAACAGCATAATCAATTTTAAAAATTTAAAAAAAAAAAGAAATCTAAGAGAGAGAAATCTGAGAGCTTTGCCATGAGCTTTTTACCAGGATACAGTTAAGACATCAGGTTCTTGTCAATGTCTATATTGTCCTCGCTTTCACCAGATTTTCCCTCCAGGGGCTGGATGAAACAGAGTCTTAAAGTGGCTCTCACCCCTGCTGTTCCACTACACAATGCACATTAACTTAGAATATCCCGAATGGAATTTCTAACTCATCACTTCACCCTGAGCAGAAAAAGGTAGGAGCGCATTTTGAACACAGGAGAAGACATGAAGCTGTAAATCGGGCTGATAATTCCTTTATTAAAAAGCTTCACTGACATCATTACTTTGATTTTTTTTCTTTGTTTGGTGCCATGGAGGCTTTTCCCACAGTACGAGGTCACAGTAAGATTTGGAGTGAAAGCCATGTCTTTTTTTTTTTTAAGGTAGAGACAAGCATTTGTATAAAAAGAGATAGGAAATGAGAACCAATATGACACCATGACCTCAGGGGTATGCTCATGCAAATTAAAACTTAAAACTATGAAGGTTAGAGATTCTAGAAACTGAGCTCCTTAAATATACTCATGCCCCAGTGTCCCTTGGAAATCTTTATGCACCTTCAGGGTACGTGTCCTCAGTTTGAAGACTTTACTTGGAGAATGCATTTCAATAGCCCACGGAAGCTACATAATTAGTCAAACATGGATGTCAAGTTAACTTCTTCTGTAGGCAGAAGTAGGAGACCTAGTGGAGGCCTGACTATAGGGGAAAACTTGGACCTATGAATGACTGAGTCGAGCCAAGTCCTCCTGCAAGCCCATGTCAGTGTGGATGAGAAACAAACCTTTGCTGTGTTAAATCATCAAGATTTGGGGATTGTTTGCTACAGCATTTAGCCTCCCCTGACTAACAGAGTAGGGGATAGTGCTGGAAGGGTCTGATTACTGCAGGGGTGAAGGGGCTTGTGGCCAAGCACTGCAGTGTCCATGTAGGGAATGGAATGGGAGTCACCGCCAATTCTCTGGGGAGCAGGTGGTGCCAAGGAAAGTAGGGATGGGGCCAGATCAAAAAGAACAGACTACAGGTTGTACCAATTACAGGCTTCGTAGCAGGTGCCAGCAGAATTCTCAGGAGTGGGGCCAGACAACTACCTTTAGTGGACACCAGGTAATACACACCCAGTCAGTCATCACCTTTTCCCAGTGCCACCAGGACAGAAGGTACAGAGAACTCTCGCATACCCAACCATCCCTTTTAGAAAGGAAAGAAAACTCCAAAAGACTGAATGTTTATCTAAAGAGACCATCTAATCCATGCTTGATAGGGAGTGGACCTTCAATAGAAGAAACATTTAAACTGCAAGACTGTTGGAATTGGAAGAGCCATTGGATTTGATGAGAAAATCCAAGACTTTCCATTACCCAGAGTCATAGAAACTAGTTGATTGTTTCGGAGGGGGGCACATTAATTATGTGTGAATGAGTTTGTGACCCTGTTGCTTTTTTCTTTTCATGCTGTAGCTGTGAAGTGAAGTTCAGCTTAAAAATAGATATGAAAAAAAGTTTTTAAAAGTGTACATGTATGAATACAAGAGACTGGCTCAGTACTCTATTTCTGAAATCCCGGCAATGTGAAGCACTGCACGTTCTGTCCCTGGGGACAGAGCCTCTGAAGACGCCGCTCAGCACGTGACAGCCAAGGATGGAGCACTGACAAGGGGCACGGTTTCTTCCTGCAAAACCACTTCGCACAGGACATGCTTTGTCAAACTGCTATGTGTGACGATTCCACTTCAATATACTTTGACTGGAAGGCTAACTGATTAGCAGTATTTTTTTTTTTACCAAGTCCACTGAAAAGAACAAAACTTTAATTTCAATTTCACATGACAGATTATTAAGTTGGGCTTTTATACCATCTGGTTAGTTCAAGCTAATCATTTGTTTGAGTCATAAATATACAGTTGTCACATGATATAATATCTTTTAAAAAATTAAGTCCCAAAACTCAACAAAAATGGTGGAAGTTGATCATTCCAGTGTGTAAACCACACACACAGGGGTAGCAAAGAGCTGCTTTCGGAAGCTGTATTAACTGTTTCAGGCCATGGGTACTTCATTCTGAGTGGGTGCCTTCAAATGGTATTTCCAGTGATGATGCTTTTCCACCTGGAAATTCATTCATACCTTCTCTCGGAGCTCCACCTTGTGACTATTGGCCACCGTTTTGAGGCAGCTGGTTAAATGGTAATTAAAATGCACACTCTGGGGAGGCCCTGGCATTCCTCTGGGTTTTCCTCCATCAAAGAAACTTGCTCAGTTTTCACAGCCACCTGATGTTTTCTACTCATGCATTTCTTTACTAGTTTGCTGTCAGCTTTGCTTCACTAGAAAAGAAGTGCCATGAAAACAGGGGGCTCACGGACTTGCTTAACCCCGAACCTCCAGTCTCTAGCATGGCACGTGGCTTCTAACAGGAACTCAAAAAACATTTATGTAATGAGGAAACACATCTTGCCTTTAAATATTGATGATGAAGTCATTTTTCTTTATAAGAAATTAATGAAGGAAGATAAAATCTGTGATTTTAAATTTATGGACAGTATCATGCTTTTACTCATGGTTTACTGACTGCACTTATTAGTCCAATACAAATGGAGATGGTTCCCCAGAACCATGGTTTACTAACTAGAACTCTCCAAATAAACTCAGATTGCCAAAATATCTAGATTACTACTGGAGAGTAATTTACTGAGTATTTTCAACATGTTTTTGAGTCTGTTTCTAATGGGGCTGTAATTCAGATCTTCAATTTTTCCCCTTTAAATTCAAATTACATTTCATGATTTTTGGTTATTAGGAGTGTTATATATTACTTTATATCTTTAGTTTTTAATAAAACCTATGAGTTTTAGTAAAAGATCTCAATTAATTTTTAAGTATATCTATAAGATATTTTTAACTGTCAAACTTAGTCGTTAATTAGTAATTGAAGGTTTTGGGCCACCTTATGTGGTTGCTTATAAAAGCATGCTGCTAACCAAAAATTTACTATTTGAAGAAAAGTAAATTTTCTTTGCCTTCAGTTTGAGAAGTCAGAACTAATAAAAATGAATGTCACCCTGAATATTAGTTTAGAGACCAGAACCTGTGACTTTTAACCGAACAAATCAGAACTTTTCAAAAACGGATTGAATTAAGAAAGATTGCTTTAAAAACAATAAGTCTCCCAGAAGCTTCTTCCTTTTCCTATCTTGTATAAGCGTAGGGTTTTAAATTTTGTTTTCCTTCCTCTCTTTTGATGGAATGAGTGTGAGTAAATGTCTAAATAGTTTTAAAATTCCCAAAACATTTTGCAAAAACTATTATTCACATTGGTTTGAGAGTTTTCAATAGGGAATTTCTCTTAACAGTTCTTGTTTTCTGATTAAATTGTATAATTTCCCCTTTTTAAGAATAGATCACAGGTGGGGAGATGAATAAATCAACACACATCTGATTTGGTTACAATTCAAAACCAGTGGTCATTGTAAGAATAATTCAAATAACGACACGATTTACGCTAAAGTGGCACCTCATCTGTAAGGGAACAGCCACAGGTGGCTTCCCTTGAAGTCCTTCCTCGTCCCCGTGGCTCCGGCATCCTCCGCCTCCGTTACTATTGCTCGTTCTTCTCAAGATCAGAAATGAGAATGTTTTCTTCCAAATGCACGGCACTGAAGTTGGCCGTCGGGTAGTAAGGGCTCCGAAACTCTGCGAGCCTCCTGAAGACACCAGTGCGGCGCCTGTACATGCAGAAGGAAAGCGCGGCCACGGCCAGAATTGCCACCAGCGTCAGTGTCCCTGCCAGTGGGACCATGCTGTGGCTTGGTCCTAGCAGAAGATGAAAAAAGGAAAACTTCAATGACAACGAAGCACTACAGACACTATCACGTAGTTACTTTCTATTTTATTATTTCTAAGAAAAATCAAAATGTTCTCTACTGTTCCAAACATACCTTTTTCTAGATGTTCCTTTACTATGTGAATACCTAAAATCAAGTACAAAAAAAAAGTGAGATGAAGTTTTTCTTTTCATTCAGCAAAATTATGTCATTACTTATAGCAAGGCTTGGCAAACCATGGCCCATGGGTTAAATGTGTGCTTCTGTCTTTATAAATAATGTTTTACTGGAACTCGGCCACATTCTTCCATTTATGCCTTGTGTACAGCCGCCTTCATGCTACAATGGCCGCATGGCAGAGACCACAGGGCCCCAGAGTCTCAGATATTTATATCTGGCCCCTTGCAGCAAAAGTTCACTGACCCCTGGTTTACTGTAATCATTACTACTGCTTACAAACACACACATTGCCTTTTTTCTTTTTTTAAGCCAAAGAATTCCCATCTAGTCTAAGCACTATGCTGCAGTAGCAATGTGAATAAAGCATACACCCCACCTGCAGGAAACTCAGTTTTGGTGGGATCTACCATGGGGTTTATCTGGCAGTGATACACTTCCCGCCTTCGTGCAGGGACTTAAACATCAACATCTTGTCATACTTGGGCTTTCAAGAACCTTGAGAAATGAACAATAGCTCCTCCGTCCAAAAAGTTAAAGGATTTTCTACTGTAAAAATGTATTGCGAGTAGACTCTCAAAATTCGAACTCTGCTATTTTGGAGATCTAGATAAAGATGTAGAGAGTGACCCAGAAAAAGACTAGTGAAGGATTTGTGAGTGGAGGAAGTGCCTTGGTGCACAGCTGATGCCCGTTCATGCTTACAGACTTGCAGGAAACATCATCGTTACCAACAGCAAAATGCTGTGCTTAAAAAGGCCTTGTCTGTGCAATTTAAAAATAATATTGTATAATTTTGCATAATACAATGGAAACGTTTTGTGTGTGTATGTGTGTGAGTGTGAAGATACTTCAGGAAAGTGTTAGAAGAAACAGTATTTCAGAATGGAGGCAGTGACAAGATATAGAAGGATCCCGTGAGTCAGAAAACCGGGACTGTAATCCCCGATGCAGCCTCAGTTTGGACAGCACTTTTCTCATCTGTAAAATGCAAATATTCTGTCTGCTCCTCTGCCCCTTAAGTTGTTGTGAAGGATGAAAGAGATATGCTGTGTATCCCAGGAAGCTTCGAATTCCTGTACAAACATGAGGTGTTTCTGATTTGTTCTTAGTACTTAAATGCTGCGGGTCACTTGGATGTGTTATTTATCACACAGAGTTGATAATGTCACTGTTTGGTTTTCAAACATTAGTGCCCACACCTACCAGTTTTTTTCTTCTTCATTACCAGTCTTCTGCAATCGTCTCCAAAGCCTGGTGGTTCTCTTTTCCCCTTTCTGCTCTCCCTTTTTGTTCCCAGTTCCACTGCTCAAATTATAAGTGCCTCTCTTTACATTTGGGTGAATGTGACGCCCCTGCAGGTGTCCACAGAGCAACTAGTGGGTCCCTGTCTCCTTCACACAAAGTCCAGCTCTTCCTGGATCCTACATTACTGTTCAATATAATTCCCATCACCACCTAACATGAGTCTTCCCTCCAATCTCAGCTCATTCTCAATCTCTACCTTCAATCATTTGTCCAATATGCCTCCCTCCCTCTCTTCTTTTCTTTCAGGATTCCTGGGCCTCAAATCTGTGAAGTCTTCTCCAGCCATCTGTATAACACCGGCACCTAGAAACTGTTGTGATTATTATAACTACTTTCCCACTGTTGATGTTCCTTATTAATGCCCTAGCTAAGAAGTCCCTGCTATTGTTTGCAGCAGACTAGAATTTTCTGACTAGAAATCTGACTAGATTTCTAAAATTATTCTTTTACCACCAAAAACTAAGTATGCTTAAGATAAATTTAAAATATGTCTTTTACAATATATTAGAGCTTGCAGCAGAGGGTCACATGTGTGTTTCCACAAGGACAACTAAAGCCCAGGTTGTATTTCTTTAAGACAAGCCTTACAGTTCTGAGTAGCAGTGGTCAGAATGAGGGCTGTTGGTTTAGATTTCTAGCTCTACTCACTTGAAGGAAACTGCTTTTCTGCTTCTGAGATTAATAGCTGGGGTGGCACAAGAAAGTCATAGCCTTTGACTTGAAATGTTCTATGACTTAACTGATATAGAACAAGAGGATAATATTAGAATCTATCTGAACACTGCCTGAATTCTTGGATTTTAAATGCTTTAAGTACTAAAGAGGTGGGTCAGCATTAGTCAGGGCGGAATCGAAATGAAGAATCACCCTCAGACTTCACCCACCTGCCTCCATTTTGCATATAAATCCTTTTTTTTCTTGACATGGAGATAACTGCCACACTCCTGTGGGGGTCCTCAGGGCAACGCACAGATGGGATTTGGTGGGGTCCATCTCAGGCTTCCGAATGCCCCAGTTTGATTGGTCTGTGGGCGTCCCATCAAACCACTTCGTGGTTTTATCTGTGGGGAGATGGCCAACTTATAAATTACGTGCATGATTGTCAAACCTACTAAGACTGGAATACACCATAAAAAGCAGCCCCTACATTTAATGAGACTCACTCCTTATCTGATGCTTTTAACTCAGTAACTGCGGTTATGAACTGAACACCCAAAGGTAGGTATGAGTGACGCTGCCTTGTGAGGAACTCTCTATTTTCATTTAGTTCTAATTTACTTCTAAATTTAGTTCTTAGGAAACATCCTACTGTTTCCTAATGTAGCTTTGGATTTTGCAGTAGTTCTTATCAGTATAAGTAATGTAAAGAAATTATTTAATGAACTAAACTAATCAACATAGAGAAGAAACCTTTGAAGTCCTAACATTCATTTCATTACAAGATGGCTCACTTTCTGAAAGAATTTCAGTGAGTTTCTGTAAACAGCAAGCCAGGGGTGTACCAATGGGTGGGGCCACGGGAGAGTCCATCCACGTGTAGGCCATATCGAGGTCTAGTGTCTGAAAAGGATTTAAAACCAACACTAACACCAACTAAAATTCAGTCAGCTTTTTGTTATCACCATGTGCTAGAAATTCTAAACAGCGTCAGTGATTAAAATAGCCTCCTTGGCAGGGCAGACACACCCTCTGCTTTGGCACCACACTGTAACGAGCTGTCCATACCAGTTCAAATATTTTTCCTTATCAGTACTTTCAATAACCATCATTTAAATAAAGAAAGAATACCGTGTTCTCATTTGAATACTATCTCTGGTTTTTATGAGAAACAAATAACTCTAATTGCATAATTTCTCACTGAGCCGTTTCCTTAACACCATTGTACTTTTTAAACATTCAGGAACCTGGGGTATTTTTGAGTGACTATGGTTTTGGTGTCTATGACCCAGTCTGTGAACATGAAGTTCCAGTCCGGCATCTTAATGTAGATAAACTTGTTTGTTTTTATTTGGGGTATTCTGGGATTATTCACAGGAAAAGTGGGCATAGAGGATTAGCAATGTTGTGTTTGGAAGAAATGGCTTTAAGACTCATGCCATTTGTTCACAGCAGCTGAGAGTTTTCTGGTTTGTAGAGGCTGCTTCCATCAGCCTTGACCACTGTGTGCTTATTTCTGCCTTCTCCGCTTCTCCACGCAGAGCACTTACCGTCACCGTCAAACCGAGCATTCAACCAAACCGTCTGCGCAGAAGAAGCAAACACGACAAGCTCTTCTAGGAGAAATGAATTCTCAGCCTCGTCCTTGATTGTTAAAAGATTAGATCCTATAAAAGAGACAAACAGAAAATGAAGAAGTATTTGTGTTCACATGTCAATAAAACTTTAAAGATGTCTCATACCATCCATAATGTATAAAGCTCAGGCTTTGAAAAATGAAAATTTCCATTGTATATAAGTAATTTTTGGTTAAAAGTGTTAAAGCAAAACCACATTTATTGATATAATGAAGAGATAGAAGAGATATAAGTACTTCAGAAGGGAAAGCATAGAATATTAATTTTAGGAAACATTAAAAATTTATAATTCATATGCATTCAAAAGGAACATTTTGTGGGGGGAAGTGCAGAATTCTGAGACATCCCTTTAGATTTTAAAGTTTTATACTGGACACTGAGTTTCATATGTTAGCCATCCCACAAATAAGCAAATTCAATTGTATTTTTTTTCAAATTTTTGTTGCTGCTAAAATCACTACATAATCAGACAAAAATTACATTGTTTACTAAATTATCAAGGAGCACACTGAAAGCATTTTATCTTCACAATAGAATTACCTTCCTTTTTGCAAAATTCATGAGCAGCTTCAAAACTCATACTGTCTAGGACTGTAGAAAAACTGTAACAATTACTTTTGAATTTTATCCAGGGAATAGATGTTTCTGAGCACAACTCCGGGTGTCCAAATGGTCTTGTTTCTACAAACAAAAATCGGTTATGGTTTCATGTGGTGTTTATCTCATGTGAGATAAATATTGCATTACATTATATGAAAGACCAAGACAAACATATGTAATGAGATTTTTCATGATAATACTTTGAACAATGGGTATTACATTGGATATAAATGATTATAAAACTAGGACTGGTTTATAGCGTTTCTGGAAGAAATAATCTTTATGCCCACATAACAGGGCATACTAATGCATATCTTCATAGGCTCAGTTTGGGTGCTGCCCTGGTGACGGTGGCTGACTTTCATGTTTACATTTAGTATCATATTGAGGTATGTGATTCATACAAATACTGGCAGCTGAATGAAGCTGGCCAAAGGCAGTTACAAATGTACAAAACGTGTTACATGCAGTGCTGAACATTACAGTTTTAGCAAACTCTTACCTTCAAATCAACCTATTAGAGAAAATAATGCCTTCAATAACACATCCCATAACATAGCATAGCATAGGATAATGTAACATAACAAACATAGCATCACATAACACAACACAGGGGACCTGGGGTGGACTTTGCTTCAGGGGGCATGCGTGAGAGTCAGACACATCCACACTGAGGTCCGGGGTGTGTGGCTGTGGGCGTGATACCTCTCTCCCCACAGTTTGGTGCTTTATTTACAAAAGAGAGCTAACGACATTTTTCTTACAACTTGAGAAGTTTAAATAAGCTAATGCCTCATGCTTTTTAAGCATGCAACATATATGCAGTGTTGTTGAAAGGGAAGGCTAACTTTTATTGTGTTTTAGAAGGAGAATTGGCTTTTCTAATATATATAGCCATCATTTACATTTTCATCCTGAATCATTTTGATCTGAAGTTACCTAATGTGCATGGCATTTGACTTGGAATATCCAGAATGTAAGAAATAAATGAGCTTTTACTAAATGAGAGATGCAAAAAGGAACCAACCAGTGTGAAGAAGCTCTACGTACCCCACAGCATCATGGGAACAGGACCTGGTGGGGCAGAATAACTGCCACATCAGAGAGTGAGGAAAACAGGCTTCTACTCCTGGGGCTGTTGATGGACAACTGTGAGATCTTCAAGGAGCTATTTAATGCTCTGAATTTATCTCATCTTTAAAATAAAGTTTACCTGGCCTAACAGGTGAACTTTAAGTGTAATGAGATGTTACTATCATTTTAACATTTAAATACATATGTGATATAGATATAAGTATTATTACCATTATTATTATGATGATTCTAGAATCCTATTCATCCTTGACTTAAACATAGGCCCCAGTCTAGCATTCAAGGTCGTCCATACACCCACGTTTCTAGCCTGATTTTCTACCTCTGTTTTAACAATAACATGGGATGCAGGAAAATCTCAACACCAACTTTGCCTACCCATGTCCTGTCCTTCCTTCCTTTCATGTCTTTGCCCAACCTTTTCTGCTCAGAATGCTTCTCCATGTCCCTTTATTACCCTATTTATATATTTCAAGAACAATCTCCACAGTCAAGTCCTTCAAGAAGTCTTTCTACATATTGCTTCAAGTTGATATGATGTGTTTTTTTTTCTCACTGACCCCCACAACACTTGCTACCTCTCATATTGTTTGGTAGCCCTGCCTAGTGTAATAGTTATTTGTCTGTATATTGCCTACCAGACCAGATGCTTCTTGAGGGCAGATACTTCTTACTAGTCTTCCTCATTGCTCCTGCTTAGCACAGTGCCTCACATACGGCAGGCCCATGGTGCATATTTTGGAGTTGAATATGATTGAACCTACCAGTAGGTACATGACAAATGGCTCCTTGCAGAAATGACTCACAGGCTGTGCTACTCCAGCGCCCATTGGTGTCAGCAAAAACACAGTCACCCTGCACGGATGACTCATCATCTTTCCAAAAGGTGAAGGAAGATTTGGTGCCATCTGACCAGTCGAAATTGAGACCATTCTGTGGAGGGAAATTGAGCCATCACTTCCTTGCCAAGACCACTGGTGGCATCACTCAATGCTATCTGAGCATCTCTCACTTACACATAGATTTGTATTTCCACTCCTTAGACTCCTGTTTCAGGGGGTCTGGGACAGCTTGTGAACACAGCCTGACAAAAAGGAGTATCTGCCGCAAGAGATATCTTTTTTAGTTTTGGGGAATCCTCGGCTCCCTGCCACCATAATTTGCCAGCAAGCAATCAGAGTGAAGTTGGATCAATACCTTGTTCTTTATACCAAAATACTTTTAGATCAAAGATTCAAACATAAAATTGAATGTAGAAAAGTGCTAAAGAAAACTCTGCTAAAATTTTTATACTCTTAGCATGGGGAAAATCTTTCCAAGTCTGATAGAAAATCCAGTGGCTATACAACAAAAATAGACTATGTAAGTTAAAATGTTCCATAATACCAAAACACAATAAATCACCATGAAATACCATCTTTTCACCGTTCCCACTGGCAAGGATTAAAATTTTGACTTACTCATTGTTGGCAAGGATGTGAAAAAACCAGGTGTTATCAAATACTATTGCTGGCGTGTAAATCAGTGCTAACTTTTTGAGGGCAATGGCACTCCTTATGAAAATTTAAGGGGAACTCATCCTATTTGCACAAGGATATTTGTTGTGCATTGTTTGTAATTGTGAAAATTGGGAAGGACCCAAATGACTATTCCTAGAATTGTTCAATAAATTGTGGTGTATCCTTATGTGTTCAATTTTTAGGTGCTGACATTGAAAGCTGTACAAAGTACATTAAATTTTTAAAAAGCAAGTTTAAAGAGAACATATATACTAAGTTCTCATCTGTATTTAGAAAACAATACTTATCCATTCCATCTACATACATGTCCATAGAGAGAATTTCTACATGACACACTGGAGATGTTTACAGTGGCTGACACTGGGGACCAGCACCAGAGGTCAGGATAGAATAGCTAGCTCTCACCACTTTGAGTGTGTAATATGTTTATTAAAGAGAAAAGAAAACTAAATCAAAATATCTGGCTCTCCAAACCATATCCTTGGAGGAGAAAAATAACCTATCTGTTAAATATCAGGGGAGATGGAGTTAATGACCAAATTTCTAGGCAAGAAGAATTGGCTTCCCTTTTGGGGGGATTTCTTCAATGCAACAAATTGCCCACATGCAGGTGCTGGGGTTTAGCATGTGTTCCAGTGTATGAGGAAGTATTCCAAAATTTCTCAGAAATTTTCATAGAACCTTTGAAGGGCATTATTTTCCAGAAATTAAAGAAGTGGATATTTGCTCTTAAAAGGTATACACCTTTATTTTGTGGTCATAGGCTTCTCATAAAGTTGGTCAGTATCTATTGTATAAACCAATGACTTAATGCTACATTTACTAGGAGATTTTTTCTGTGGTAATTTCAGTGGCTATATTACTGAGGAAGTAAATGAAACTCAAGCAGGCAAGGATTGTCCAAGGGATTTTAGGGCACCTACATCTGCAGTGAACAGTCCGATCCAGTGGGCACGTCCCAGCTGGTTGAGGATGACGGTGAGGAAGGACTGGTGATACAGATCTGCAATGCTGACCAGTTCTGCTCCGTGCATCAGACAGGTTTTCAGTGCTGTATACCAAGTCATGTTTGCACTAATTATTTTGTAAGTTCTGTTTCCATACTGTAGGGTATTGGCGATTGCATACATGTCAGATGTATTTACACCACGTCCAGAAGTATCTAGAACAAGAACACAACAAAAATCATTTATACCATCTGGATGTGAGAGGGTGAGACAAAGCTTAGCATGGAAACCGGTCACAGTGATCCATGCTGTCGCTAACATTAGCGTTTTTCTTCCCACAATTGACTACTTCGAAATGATGACACTTCCTGAAAGCATAGGTGATGCTAAAGAATAAAAACATGTAGGAAATTTTGTGAATGAGTTTCTTTTTAAAGTACAAACATAAGTGTATATTAACCATTTCTACAAGGTTTTCCATTTTGGCCATCCTTTGTCAAACCACGCCTCTTTGGTGGAATTCATGGGGTCTCCTTAGGTGGGTTTCTCCTGCTGCCTCCACTCTGCCCAACGCATGCGGCTCCGGCAGAACTCAGCACTCACTGAGAGCATGTCGACACATGTCACACACTTACTGCACTGAGAACATAATTTACAACTGTGTATTCCCAAATGTAACACTTCATTAAACTTTTGAGACTGTATGATAGTTACTATCATATTTAATATTTACATATATACATTCTATAAAAAAGCCTAAAAAGTAATGAATAGAAATACACTGTTCTTAAAAATAGTTACTGTTAAAGTCATAGGTCAGAACTGAGATTTATAAATTAAAACACAAAGTTTTCCCACATGTGATCATTGGTACTTTCTTATTCCCGAGCAGTTGTGATCATATAAAAAGCAAATCTGTATTTTACATACAGATGTTTCCTCTCTAACATGTGCCCTTGTCTGTTTGTTCTGTATTATATTATGTACTTGGATAGGCTAGATTTTGAAAACTTAAAATACGAAAACAAGGTGTTTCTTTTTTGTGTGTGTATTTATTTTTATTTTAATTTTTGTTCAAGTACAGTTTTCTGCCTTTTACCCCCATCCCAGCCCCGCCCCAGCCCTTCCCGCCTCCTTCCCATTTCCACACAACCCCCTTGTTATTGTCCACGTGTCCTTTACACTAGTTCCTGCAAACCCTTCTCCTTTCCCCCTGAAATTCCCTCCCTTCTCCCTTCTGGTCACTGTCAGCCTGTTCCCAATTTCAGTATCTTTGGTTATATTTTGCTTATTTGTTTTGTTGATTAGGTTCCTGTTAAAGGTGAGATCATAAAGTAAGTGTTTCTTAAGTGTTTGATCAAAGTGGCTGGGATTTATTTCTATATACTTAGTTTATTACACTTCGGCTTGAAAAGGAGCACAGTGAAATGTGGATACTCAGAAGACCTGTGGCTCAATTCTAGTCCTGATGTTGAATGGCTAAGAAACCTTGGGAATTAGTTAATCCTTCCAAACCTCACATTTATGGTCTCTAAGATTAGTAAGGCCTGCCCTGGCCACATCGCTCAGTCGGTTGGAGTGTTGTCTTGATACCAAGGTTGCGGTTCCCTTCTGGGTCAGGGCATGTATAAGAATCAACCAATGATGGCACAGATAAGTGAAACAACAAAATGATATTTCTCTCTCACTCAAACAAATAAGTATATAAAATTAAAAAAGAAAGATTAGTAAAGCTTTCCATATAGGGATGTAGGTAGAATTCAATGAGATATTTACAGAGGGCACTTACTATAGTACCTGGGATATAGTAGGTCCTCAATAAATGTTGCTTCTTGCTCCCATCTTTTTCTTTTTGTCACACTCTCCCAAATAATGATAAGCTGGGAATTTGACTTTTATCTGAAAATGTTACCTCAATACATGTTGCACATATTGCAAAACCAAAGTGAAATTCTTCATTTACCAAGTAAATTGTGATGGACCACACTTTGATCACTTTTGCCAACCTACCTAAAAAGTGTTAGGTTATTTACATAAAGCTGATATAATACCAAGTAGCTATTTAAAAGTGTTAACAATTAGTAAAATTAAAGTAACTAAAATTCTTTGTATATGTGACCCAAATACCAATTTAACTGGTTTTCCCCATTAAATTATATATCTGTATTTTCACATTTCTGGATTTCTCCTTATGTAGTTGATCTAATTAACTTTCAAAAAATAAGAGACTTTGAGCAACATGATTTTGTCACTTATTTCTGTGAAAAAGAAAGATCCACTGGAAACCAAGTTCCAAATTGGGGGTATCGATTTCACCCTTGTCTCTTTTTGTTCAGACATTTTATTTTCTAACACAGATTAGAGACTTTAGGCTATAAGTCAAATATAAATGAGTTTATATGGCACATAAAGAGGAGGAGCAAAATTTGTGTAATCATTGTAGCTTACTATAGGAATTTGCATAGTTAAATAATATGGCTTGAAACTAACAATAAAAAGAATTATCCTTTGTTAAACATGCACTGGAAACTTGCTAAGCGCTGTACATACAGAAAGCCTATGAGATATTTCATTTTATAGATGCAGAAATCAATGTTCAGAGGAGAAACCGACTGACAGTTTATGTACAGAGGTGCGGTAGGAAGCCAGGAGTGGTATCAATTCCAGTGCCCACTATTCTGTGCTGCTTCCAAAACAACATATACTTCGTTAGTCCCAAAAACATCAAAGAAAGAAAGTGGTCGGGAGTACATTCCAAGAAGAGATCAACATCAAAGTTGTGGGATAGACCTTGAACTGAGAGACCATGAGTGTGTTACTTATTTTTTCTAATCTTCAAGTTCCTCATTTATACAATGGAAAGACTTTTACCTTCTGTTTAGATTTGTCATGAGGATTTTATGGCATAATGCTTATAAATCCAAGGCACAGCGCCAGGTACATACGTTTGCAAGGACATAGTATATTGATATATTTCTTTCCCTACAAAACTCTGCTTTTCTCATAATACTCCTGATGTAACTGACCTGGTATTTTCTTTCAGTTCCCAACCACTATTGTGATTAAGTGATACCTGTGAACTAAAAAACAGGGCTCCTCTGAACTGTTTTTCTGAAGGTAGGTTGATACCTAGTATCATTAAAGGTATCACAGCATGCAAGAGGAAGAGCTATAACTCATATTACAAGTAAGCACATACACTAGGTTGCCCAGAGTTCTACATAGCTCCAGACACAAACTATAGCCTTCTAGGGTGGCATGGTACAAGGAAGCCTAGCACTCAGTAAAAGCATGAGATAGGAGTGATTGTTGTTTTATTACTCAAGATCACTTATGGTGCATTCGCACTCTTCCTCGACCCCATTGGCTACTTGTAATAGTATGGCTTTGGGACTTCACACCAGAAGTCATCAGGGGTTCTCATCATCAGATCTGAAAACACGCTGCATGCCATATTTAGCCTCAGAGATGATTTTTAAGGTTCCAAGAAAGGAATAAGTATTGACTTGGTTTATTTCCTTAGAACTTTTCCAGCATTTCGCAATGCCTTTTTATTGCCTGAACAGACACATAATTCCAGAGCAATTATGACAGAGCATAACCCTGGGGCAGTGGAAATTAAACAACTACATGTATAAAGCTCAAAGAATCGGTGCCTGGCACGGTCAGCAATGGGACTGCCAGTTACGCAGCATGTAAAACAAACATAAAGAGAAGGGCGGGACACGGAAATGGAAGGAATAAGAAACGAAAGTATTTCTTACCTTGTATTTTCTCACAAACATATCCATAACCTTCTTTTCCACAGTCTTCAAAATACCATTTTCCAGTAAAATGAAAATTAGGATTATTTGACAGCAAAGCACAGAGAGGAATGTGTTTTTGAACTTTGGCGGTGTTATGACTGCGGATCTTTAAAAGAATACATTTTTAAAAAGTATATTACATATAATATTATTATAACATTGATATTTTTATTATGGACATAATTTTTTAAACTCCAAACACTATTATTCTTCTGTTTTCATTTAATAAACCTGTTCACAAATCACTTCATAACCTAAAACATAAATAATTCTTGTGAATAAAGTAATTACATTTATGGAACACATGAAAATTATATAAAACTGTATTATTAAAATTAATATTAATAACCAACTAATAAAATGTATGCCTATAAAGTGTAAAAGGTATAAAAAACATTAGTAAACAAATCTTGAATAGAATCTCTTGCCAATTTCTAAAAAAAAATAAATCTTCAAACTTACATTTATTGTTTCAAATGGAGACCAGTTGGAATAAACCACAGGCTTTCCATTTAGCCATCTTTCATAATCATCATTTTGTAACCCTATCCACACATTAGTGGTCTGGCCAAAAAGATTCATTGTAATGAAAGCTGAAAAATAAGAACACATCATAAAATCCAATACTACATAAACCATTTGGTTAATCAGCCAATTCTGTTTACAGCTACTATTTTATTTAAATGACAGCAAGACTTAATTATAAATCAATTGTCGGAATTACTTTGCTCTTATTAAGGTAATGCGGTCTCTCTCACTTTTGTTTCAGTTTGAATTGACAGAAATTGGCTGACTAAGCCTGGGATTTCATCATGTCATTAACAAAGCAATTTCCAGTGTTCATTCGATGCCTTTCCTAACAAAAGAGGATTTATTTGCTATGTTTAAACTAAAGTATATAATTGCCTAAATACCTAATAAAAGTGTGTAGGTGAATCTAAAGGGTCTAAACAAATATGCCATGCAGTTATAGTAGACTTTGCCTCAGATTATTTTAGCCATTTTGAAATATAGATCACAAATAGGTTCTTATTCTTTCCACCACTACTGGTGAAACAGACAAAAGTCCCCAGAAGTCAACAGTTTATAAGCAACGCAGCGCACTAACTTTTATGGATGTCATGATATGAGCCTTACGGAAAACTCAGGAGAATATTGATTTGGAAATGTTAGACTCTGGGAAGGATACTTAATACTTGAATAAAAATGGTTATTTTGCCTGACTGAACATGGAATACCTTGTTCCACCTCATTTTCAATGGAGGCCAGTGTTCCCCCTTCTTCAACACAAAAATCTCGAGCAGACGTCCAGTTCTTCCAGCCACTTGGGTCTTTGTGGATTTTCACCAAAAAGCACTATAAACAAGTAAAAAAGTTTACTTCCATATTTTTATAGTGAAGTAAAAATTTCCCAAAGCACCGAGGATAAGCCTTGAAAACTCTGTACTTCTCTTGCTCAGAAATGACTCATGGTTTTCTCTGAGCTGCTACAAAGGGGAAAGTAAAATGAAGTGAACAGCTTTCAGGGTGAGTACGTGTCTAGCCTGCACTGCGTCAGGCAGGAACAGAAGAACCAAGGCAGGGACAGATGCACTTTGTCACGAGAGGTGTCAGAACAAGGTCTTCTGTTCAAAGAAAAATAATATTCCTTCTAAAAAGGAGGCAGCCTGATTGCAGTTTATAGTGGCAGATTCAGTCTAAATTGGGCTACTACCAGCTGAGTTCAGTTTCAATTGCAAATACACTTCTTCAGTTGCCGTGAGAGAGAAATACTAGGAACTCAAAACCAGGTGTTTAAATTCTCTAAGAACTTGGAATCAGCCTTGTGGTCAGCAAACCCATGAGGAGGAGCCAGAAAAGAAAACATGAGCCCAGCGGGAAGAGAAGCTAGGGCAGAATCAAGGAGACCTAGGAAGAAGACACAAAGGGAGGGTGGCCAGCATTGCCAAATGGAACACAAAAAATGGCTGTGGGATTTGGCAGTGAGAGCGATTGTTACTCATCAGACAGTCCTGTCTGTGGCACAGCAGGAGTTACTCATTATGAACAAAGAAATGGAACAGTAACTACTAGGCAGGACAGGCACCCAAAGCCCAAAATTTACCAGTTAGATTTAAACATGTTACTAAGGCCAGATGGAGTCAGTGGAAGAGAGGAGAGGGGGAGGCTATAGCAGCTCAGGCAAAGTTCCAGAGATGTTAGGAGGGACTTAATGGAAGGGATACTTTGTAAGAATATGCTCCCGTCAATAAGCATAAGTAACGCTGGTCATTAATAGGTCAGATCTCGAGATCATGCCCATCCTCCTCTAAAATGACATCCTTCCTTAATTTTGAAATTCGTACCCTGTCTCTTCCCCCCTTCATAATTTCCTTAAAAAGCATAGAGACTAAGTGTTCTTCTTTGACCACAGCAAAGAAGGTCACCAGTAAATATTTATAGAATGAAATAAACCCAACAAACTCTGTAATGGCTGTCAAATAACATCAGATATTCTAGATGTAGTCCAGTGGTTCTCAAATGGGGTTATTTTGCCCCTCAGGGGATACTTTGATAATATCTAGAGACATTATTGGTATCATTATCTTGTGGTGGGGGGATTGCTATTGGCATCTAGTGAGTAGAGACCAGGAAGGCTGCTAAACATTCTGTAATGCCCAGGTCAGTCCCCCAGAACAAAGAATTTTCCATCCCCAAATGTCAATAGTGCATAGATAATCATTTTCAGAACTCAGCTCTGATGATGTCACTCTTTAGTTTAAACCCTTCAGTGATTTTCCACTGTTCTTAGTACAAAAGCCAGAAACACTGATCTAGTTGAGTTACCAACTGAGAGAGGAAGCACATTTTCAATTCTGGTTCCCTTTACCTTGTTTGCTTCACAGAGACACAGAATTGGCTGTGAAAGATTTCAATTTTACAACAACTGTTCTTTTATCTATTTCTTTTATTTTTCCTCTTCATTCTCATTACAAATTCCAAAGAGTGGCACATACTAATTATTAGGAAGTCTTATCATTTAATGTGAATTCACCTCGTGTTCAGATAGTCACACTAATGAACCATTCATAAATAGCAATGAACCTCACTGGTTCAGTTAGCTCAATAAATCTCTCCAGAAAATACACACACACACACACACGGTTCCCCTCTTCTTCCAACCCTGTCCCCAACATTTGCCTCGGCCAAAATTTACCAGCTTGACTGTGACAGTGAAACCTCCTGTTACAGGACTTCACTGTTTCTAAAAATATAACATATTTACTAACACAGTTCAAAATGGTGTCATTAATAATTAAAGTAAGCAGCAAAATGAAGCACAACATCCTTAATTTTAAACTGTTTATTTACTTACTAATTTGCAAAATGTGATCAAGTTTAATGCATCTCTGATTACGATTGTGAATTGAGGATATTCTCCTGGATTCCAAACAAGTTTGGAATATAAAATTCTTTTCTTTCTTTTCAAAGTCATTTCCAGCTTAAAATATGAAATTAGAATTTGTGATCTACCCCCAGACTTGGTCCTTCCCGGGGGTTCTTACCCACACAGAGTGGCACAGTCCACACGGCAATCACACAGGCCTGACTCCCGGGCGTCATCCTCACTCTCCCACTCCGTCACCCCTGCGGTCCTGCCGTTTGGAAATCCCATTTCTCAGGGCCCCCCACTATTCCTACTGCCCCCATTCTCTGCCACCATCATCTTAGCTCAAGCTAGTAATAATTTCTTGCCTGGACTACCACAGTAGCTTCCTAACTGCTCTTCCCTTTCTCACCTTGCCCTCTTCCACTTTTTATTGGCACTGCAGCTTGAGTGATTCTTCTCGAAAGTCAGTCCTGATCATGCCCCTCTTTAGTTTAAACCCTTCAAGGGTTTCTTATGGCCCTGGGCATGAAAGCCAGAAAATCTAAGATGCTTTAACCCCTGCCTCCTACTTTCATCTCAACCCTCATACTCTAGGTCTGTATGCTTCCTTTAGTTTCTTAACTGTGTTCTATTCCCTCTCACCATTGCACATGCTGTTCCCCTGCTTTAACTGCTCCTTGTCCCTCACACCACCTCAGTCAGGCCCTCCTGTTATACGTTTTATAGAACTTTGTAACGCTTCTTCATCATTTGGGTCACAATTTTAAATCATACAATATTTTCCTGATTGATTCACTAATGTTTGTTCCCCCTCGAATTTGTAAGCTGCAAAAGAGAAGGGATTGTGTATATTTTTCCTCACCATTGACTTACCAATATCCAACATAGCTGAATGAATGAATAAAATGCTGCTAATCTGAATACTTTTTTTTAAAAAAAAAGAGTGTTTTTTAAGATGTGTGTGTGAAAAAAGATACTTGCTAATGCTAAACTAGCTAGTGCAAAACAGCCATTAGCACTTAAGTCAGGTCCTTGTATAAAAGTGTGTAAGTAGAAGCACAAAAGTTCATCTAATACATACACACACACACACACACACACACACACACACTTAGAATTTCTTCCCCCACAGCCCTGCTGTGACAAGTATGTACCCAGGGTAATCCCTAGTGAAGCCTCCTTTACACCTTCAAACATGGAGGAAATGGTCTATAAATGTTAGAAAAGATGCTTAACTTCTGGTATCTCCATTTTAAAACTCTACAAGGTTGACAATCAGTTATCACCTGAATCTTTTTTCTTTTTTTAAAAATATTTTATTTATTTTTAGAGAGGGGAAGGGAAGGAGAAAGAGTGGGAGAGAAACATCAATGTGTGGTTGCCTTTCATGTGTCCCCTACTGTGGACCTGGCCTGTAATCCAGGCATGTGCCCTGACTGGGAATTGAACCAGTGACCCTTTGCTTCACAGGCCTGTACTCAATCCACTGAGCTACACCAGCCAGGGTCTGAATCTTTTTTCTTAGAAATAACAATAAAATTAGTACTAGGAAGCTGACAAACAAGAGACAAAGTTTAATAAGACATAATACTGGAACTCATTGAGAACTGTGAAGTGAGTAATGTCTGTCATTGCTATCTCCCAATTTTCCTTTGGTAGCTTTAAAAAATTAATATTAAACAGGGGAACCACCCCCAATGGGTTCTCCACTCCACTCAGCCATCAGTCAACTTTTCTAATAATCTGATAAACTCACTTATAGGTGACAGATGAGTCAATCTCAGAAATATTTCTCTTAAACAACATAAAGGGAAGTGTTAAGGTCAATGAGCAAGACTCTTATGGTAGGATTTTAGCCATCTATATACATGTTCTGTCTTCAAAAGAAAGGAAACTCAACTCATGCTGCAACATGAGGAATCTGGAGGAAATAGTGCTGAGTGAAATGTGCTGGTCAACAAAGGAAAAACACTGTGTTGATCCCACTTATGTGCAGAATCTGAAGTAGTCAAACTAGTAGACACAGAAAGTAGAATGGTAGTTGCCAGGCACTTGGGGGTGGGCAAACAAAGGGCTGATGTTTAATGTGCTTAGGGTTTTGGTTTTATAAGATGAAAATGGCAGATTCATTGCACAACATTGTGAATATACTTTACCCAACTGTACTATGCACTTAAATTTTACCCCAATTAAAAAACTCAGTGCCAAATATGTTGTGGTGCTCAATAAATATATCAAATGTCCAAATGGTTCCATTTTACAAATTAACAATGAGAGGCAGATCACAAAGGACAGAATCCCCTGCCAATACAACTGAACATACAAATTAAAAATTGGCTCTTGACGACCAAACAGCAAATATTTATAATTTGGGATGCATTTTAATTACTTTCCCTTAAGGCCTTATTTTATTATACAACATAAGGAGTGGAGGGGAAGGCTCAGCCTTAATTGGAGGCCGTGCCAGAAATAATAAATCTGGTTTACAATATCCACACTATCAATTAAAAAAAATCAGTTCTGCACAGAAGCACCCATTTTATGAGGCTTAAAATGACATTGAGCTACGTTACTAGTTGGTCAATTCACAAGGCAGGCAGAACTCTATGCAGGGAAGTGTCCAGGCAGAGAAGACACAAGAAGGACCTGATGGAGTCTGGGGGCTCTGGAGTGGACAACTCATTTGGGAGCAGGGCTGAGATAATGTGGGCACATCTGCACACATGTGCACACGCGGAGGCATCACGCAGCACAATGAGTAGCTGAATATACACAAATTGAATACACAGATGAAAGGTGGTGTCATGGCTGTTTCTCAGAAACACTTCTTATTTCAAGACAGTTGGCCCTAAATCAAAAACTTCTCAAATCTGTTGAAAGTTGTGACAAAAAAGTTCCAGGTCAAAAGGACAAATCACGGTTTTTCAAGGCCACACCTACTTTTTGATTACTTTCTAATTAACATCTACAAAGGAGAAACAAAGGCAATGTTTTTGTGGAGAAGTTTACCTTATACTTAAAATATAGCCATCCTTTAGGACATGCTCCATGATGTTTTGGTGTATCTTTCTCTTTCTCTATGACCCAAAACTTTTTTCGCTTACAGATGCCAGGCATAGTAACCGAACACTCTTCACTAGACCAGAGTCCTGGGGGGGGTGGGAGGGGGTGGGAAATGGGTTAGAAATGAATAGAAACAATGGTGATTCTTTGTAGACATTGTCTATTGATCACTATTTTTATGACTCCATGGTTTGTCATAACTTGTTTGTTACATATAGGAATTGAACTAAACTTAACTATGAATCATAGAGTTCTCCAGTGACAAAAGCTAACTGGGCAAGGTGCCAAGTCAGTTATTCTAATTCAATAATGTAAACGGGAAAAAATCTAAACAATCACTGCAGTTGAAATCATAGAAGTGATTAAAGTTCTAAGAGTATTTAACTTGGTTAAGAAAAGAATATTTTGTAGAGTAATTGTTTTAAAGTATTCAACTTTAATTGAGGGAGAGAAAAGAGAGAGAATCTTTCTTTCTTAAAGAGAGATTTCTTAAGCCAGGCGGTGGAAGACAAATACCATATGATCTCACCTTTAACTGGGACCTAATCAACAAAACAAACAAGCAAGCAAAATATAACCAGAGACATGGAAATTGGGAACAAGCTGACAGTTACCAGAAGGGAGAGGGAGGGTGTAATAGGGGGAAAGGATGAAGGGTTTACAGGAACAACTATAAAGGACACATGGACAAAAACAAGGGCGGGGGGGGGGGTGGAAACAGGGGAGGGAGGTGGGGAGGGCTGGGGGGTTGGGAAGGGAGGGGGAAAGGCAGAAAATTGTGCTTGAACAACAATAAACATCAAAAGTATTTAATAAAAAATAAATAAATAGATTACTTAAATCTATCTTCCTCTCTTAAAGAGAGAAAAGATTCTAAACCAAGATGATTATTTATATTTTATAATTCCCTAAAAATATAATAATTTAGAAAAATAAACCCATGAACTTTTAAGAAAGGAGCTTTTCTTAACACTGATTGTTAAACAAAACAGGTACATATAGACATGCCCTCAGGAAAATATATCCCAAAGCCCTCAGTATCCTGGAAAATGTCTCCGAATTTAGAGAAACTATATTTTCAGAGATGATAGACTATTTCATTAGCATTCAAGTTATAATGCCAGAACAGGGCCTGGATGCACGTGGATTACAAGGGCAGATTCGGTTTTCTAGTGTGAGAGATATGCACCAAAAGGATGTTGGTTGGCATTTGAAGGAGGGGCTGGACGGCTATTCTTAATGCAGATTAGCTGTTCTTTTTCCAGAATCGGAACACGGTTTTTTGTAGGCTGTTGTGACACCTGCTGGCAAAAGTGAGCTGAGTAACTACATGGTCTTTCTTTTCTTGACTTTGTAAGAAACATGTGCATCAAGGATTGCTTTCCATGTTTATTCTGTTCCCAATTTAGGACACAGGTTTGTCATGAATCTGTTAGAGTGGAGAATATCATTACCTTTTATTGGTTAGAAAGACTGGGGTGGATATGAGTAGGCAATCAACCCAAATAACAATGTACAGATGAGTAGGATTTTAAAAAACAGTCTTCAATGTACATGTACCTCTCAATCCCCCTGCAAACAGTTGGTGTTCTAAGGTAAGCAGCAATTAATGACAGGTATTTTTTAAAAAAAGATTACTGAATTCAATGTAATTTTTTCTTAAATGGGAAATTGGAAGTAAATTTCTCAGAGGTTAAAGATCTGGCAGATTATAAACTGGATACTAGGAAGAGACAAAAATGGGCTTATAAATTTCATAGAGAATAATATTTGGCAGACATATTTCTCACCAGTTTCAATGGACCCATTTTTGATGTTGTTTTAGTTTATGAGGGGGCACTTATCTGAATGTAAATTAATTTCAAAAACATGAATTCATGGAATATACTGTACAAATGACAGTTCATAAGCCTTAAGATGGATGAGGTCGAACACATTCATTTCAAAAGGAAAATAACCAAACAAAACTTTCTCACTTGTCAATACAATGAAAAGGAGATTTCAAGGCTCCTGAGTGTTATTAATTTGTACTATAAACCCCAAAATGGAAGAATAAAATCACCTGTTATGGATGAAATGAAGCCACATTTGTGGCTCTGATTTTTCATAGATCCTTCTTTTCCTTTGTCCCAGTTCTGGTATATTACCGGAGCTCCATCTCTCCAACTATAAGAAAATAAAAAATTATAAGGTCTCCTCTCATTCTGCATGATCTTCAACACTGTTCTTGGAATACTGCGGTATGGATTGAAGGCATAATATTTTATTAAATAAAATAATATTCATGCCTTGGGTTAGGAAAATGAAAATTTATAAGCTAAAGATAATGTTTGAAGGCTACTCAACAAATTGATTGCTAAGATCTAGTACAATCATTCTGCAAATAAAACCTGTCAAACAAAATTAAATGCTAATTAATCTAGGTTCATACCGAAATTCACCATTGGCTTTTTCTTCTTGAAGTCCCATCCACCAATTGACACCGTACTTTGATAGCTATTTAAAAAGAAAGAAAAGTGTCAGCGTTTATTCTACCTGTTTTCCGTTTTCATTATTAAGATTAATGGGCTTACTGTTAATAGCTTTCTATTCTTCAGTATTTTACCCAATTATCTAAAGAAGAGTACACTAAGGCCTAGCATCTTGAGAAAACTAGAAACTTCATTATTCTAAAATATTCCCTCCTCATTATGAAGGAAAATTAGAATCAAATACTGAAAATAATTTTAATTTCATACAACATGAAATATCTTCCTTACAATTTTTCCTATGTATTTAAAAGTACATTTCTCTTATAACAGAAATTTAAAAAGGAGCATTGTAAAATAAAATACGGTGTGGAATTTTTTTGGACTGAGAACTTAGTGACTTATCTTCTCGGTGATTTATAGAAGCTCATTGTGTATGTCACTCTATTTGGAAAACAATTCAAGGCACAAAGTCATCGATAGTAGAAAGCTTTTGAATTTTACAGATTAGTCTGGTAAGCTTTTAAACTGCGTGTGAGGGTGTTAGCACCCGACCCACTCTAATCAAACAATGAAACGCAAAACAGGACCAAAGAACATGCCACACCTTCCAGTGTTCGACAACTAAAAATCATCCTTTGTATTTTTATTACTTTTACACTGTTATTTATCACACCGATCTCAGTGTAATGAAGTATAAAACCCAAGCATGTGCATGCATGTGCGTATGTGCACACAAACACACTAGAACATGAGTAATAGTGGACTTAGGACCCTGGAAATTGAAATTCCTTCTTCACCTATAAAAGAGGAAGAGGCAGTAAGGATTCCCTAAGACCTTCAAATTAATATACTTTGTTGTTTGTGTGCTGTGCGTATAAAATGTAACTCAATATTTTTTATGCTAAAACATTCTCAAGGCATTATATATTTAAATTGGCACTTCCATTTCTTCTGTAAAGACTTGAGAATGCATTTTAAGATATAGAGATACAATTTTTTACATATGATTTTTCAGGCCATTATAAAATAAAACCTCATAGCTCTCTAACATTCTAATTTATAAACAGGTATTTTCGCTCCTTAAACAGTATGGCTGTCTGCCATATCAGCAGTTTGAGAACAATGCAAGATGGAGCAACTATAATTTTATATCCCAGAGGTGTTGTTTCACGGACGTGTTTTTACGTGCTGAGTTTTGATTCCCGCTGTCAGGCTTCAGAATGGGTCCACTGAGACTGGTTGTAAACTCGGTGGGAGAACCACAACAGTCTCATTCAATCTGAAGAGGTCTCATGTGCAACAACAGTGGAAATCATGGCCTGATTGTTCACTGCCCCAATTAAGGGCCTTTAAAGAGAAATTATAACTACTGCATCTTAAGTGGCATATTTATAACCACCGCATTACAGCATGGTGATCGCCCACAAGGCACATCATAACCTGGAGTGACATGGGACAGAATTTCATGGGGCAAGCTAAAAGATACCCAGAGTGAAAATCCAATGCAAAAAGTGGGTGTTTTAAATTTTAGCACAGGCATAAAACCACAACAATAGAAGACATTAATATTCTTTGTATAAAAGAATATTAAAAATGTGATATGGACATGGATTTCATAATATCAATTATGCTTTTTCAAATAGCCACTCTAGATAGCATGATATGGGGAGAACAATGACCAAAAAGAAATAAAACACGGCAATGGACAATGTATTAAATCTCTAGATGATATAAGGAACAATAACCTATCGTCTCTTAAATTTTTTCCATCAAAATAGCAAAACCGAATCATTTAAGGGTTTAGAATACCAGCTTTTAGAAAATGACTAATAACTTTGATATATTTTTGTCGGAAATATTAAAAATTAAATTTTAGAAGAGTAAATTGAAATTTCATAATGCAAATATTACATAGCGCAGCATAAAAATGTTAGACAAATCGGCTAGTATTTCATGTCAAACAACTCCTAGAGCTCATGTCTTTTTACTTTTTTAGGCATTGATCTGAGGAATAAGATGTCTCAAAAAGCAGGCACTCAAAAGTTCACTCTCTTCCCGCCTTGTCATTTTTTGTTATTTGAAGAGAAAATATTGACTCATCATTTTTCCAACTAAGTGTTATTTTTGTTTCTTGTATTTCTAAGTTACTACTCTTCATAGAGGAGCTATAGAACACAGATGTAATTAAAAAACATTTAATTCTCTATTCTGATTCTTCCTATACTTGTAGGATGGGCTTGTGACAAAGTGAGTCGTATGACCTCTACATGTTTAGCTCCTCGTTCTGGAGTAAAATAACGTCCGGACTGATTCATTCCAGTAGTACATCTTTACATGTGGAATTTCTTACTTATGAAATGTAAATGGTCACCACACATATCACCGTCACCACCAACAAAACTGCCTAACGCAGCCACAAATTATACAGAAATTACTTTAGAATCTACAGCTTTCTTTTCTTTTGAATTGCTACCTTTTCCCGTTGCCCCTTTCTAAGTCTCCACATCCCATACCATCACACTAATTTTATTCTGTAGCACAGCGCCATGTAGATCAGTCAGCTGCTCGCCGGCAATGCTGACAGGGCATTCTGTCACATGTAAAGATACTGGCACGACCTGTGGCCTCTCACAAGGTTTGTCTGGTTTGAGATCACAACTATATCTAGTCTTCAGCTAGATCATGGCACTGACTCTGACTTCTCAAACTGCCAAACCCCTGAGTCTTACTATTCCATGTATGGGAGGCAGTAACTTTGCCATCCCTGCTGGCTTCCCATCCACCAAATGCTGGAAGCGTGCCATGAGGGAAAGCTGGAGAGAGAACACCTGCAGATGTTCGCAGGAGACCTAAACTCTGTTGGAATGATCAGAGAAGCCCTTTATTGTTCATGTCTGAGACGCAGCTTGTGCCATCTTCCGGGGAGGGTTTTTTAAAAAGTTTTATTTATCTATTTGTTAGAGGGGAAGGGAAGGAGAAAGAGATGGAGAGAAACATCCATCTTGCCTTTTGTGTGCACCTGCACTGGGGATGAAACCCGAAACTCAGGCATGTGCTGGGGGCGGGGAGTAATTGAACTGTTGACCTTTTGCTTTGCAGGCCGATGCCCAACCAACTGAGCCTCAGAGTTAGAGAGGGTTTAGTACTAGCATTTTAGTGTAATGGAGACATCGTGCTCTCATATACTCCCTGTGCTGCTGTTTTGCTGCTAGCGGCGATTTTGTTGTTGTTGCTATTGTTTTTTAAATGATGACTTAAGTCAGATGGCCTGGGTTCACCTCCAAATTCCACCACTTGGCAGCTATGTAATCAACCCAGTTGCTTCACCTCTTTGAAGTCTTAGCTTCCTCATCTGTAAAATGTATCAATAACAGTCCCTACAGAGAGTTCCTGGAAGGATTAAATGCCATGAAACGTTAGCACTTAGCACAGCACTCGACATCATAATGATAAGTATTGGCCAAATATCAGCTCCTTCTATGGGATATGCAAGTTGATGGGGTAGTTTTGAGCCTTGTTATTGCCACCTGGATGAGGAGTCCACTGTCTAGCTAAAGAAATACACATATTTTCTGACATCATTATATGTAATTTGTTGATACTTAACATTACAGTTTGCCCTAAGTGTTACGTCTGCAGGAGCAGAAGGTGGTAAAGCGGCACACGAACCAACCAAGAGTGGGGGGCACCTGGCTTTGTGGCTGTTTGCCTCTGTGTCCCTGTGGCACTGCGGGGCTGACATCTAGCCCTGTTCCTTGGCTTTCCCCTCAACACTCAGCGGCAGACCTGACCTGCCTGTATCTCATGGGCTAAGTGGGCATCAGGCAGAATTACAGAAGTGGGAAAGCCCCAGGAGCTGTGAAGAAAGCATTTCTCTTACAAGTGAAGAATGCGTTAATATCGAGCTTCATTTCACATTAATGTACAAACATGAAAAGATGATAGAATGAGAAAAGATTCCTGGAGATCAAGAAATAATGTTGAATTATAGAAAAAGAAAAAGAAGGCTTTGGCTTACTTTCAAGGAATTTGTAGGGGAAATTGAAAGTGAGGCTTTCCACCCTGAGTGCCCCCGGTAATTTGTACTGCTCCCTTTCCCCTTAGTACATCACATTATTTCTAGCTTTTTAAAAAAGAGATTATATCTCATTTTTGTGTCGTCGACATTTTTATATCCTTGGCAAATACCCCAGTGCGTGACACATACCTAATGCTCAGTAAATACTTCATAAAGAAGTAAACTGAAAATGTACTCTAATCCCTGGAGGTCTTTCATTATTTAACAGGTTCCACCTGCTTATTTCTAATTACCGTAGCTCCTCAAAAGAGTAAGCCTAGTCTTTTTCTACCTTAAGTTGAAATGGAAAATCTCCTTACCATCTTCTGTGTATGGGGTCTTTATAAACAAAAATTTGTGCTCTCGTAAGTAAAAATGAAAACTTTAAAACAGCTGCGCGCCCCCAGATACTCCTTGTCCCTCACGTGCGCTCTCCTTTCCACCGGGCCCTTCATCTTCTCGCCTTTTTTGAAAACATTGTGAGATTCTGTTTAGTTGTCTTCATTATGGTATTTCTTCCCACACTAGACTATAATTTCCAAGAGGGCAGGAGTTTTGGTCTCTGTAATGTCTCACTGATGGAGCCCCAGATTCTACAAGGATAGACTCTGAATAAATATGTGGGCTGTTCAAATGGACCTCGTGAAAGCAGTAAAACTCTTCCTGCTCACCACGGTCACTAGTAAAGCGTGAAAGTGAAATGACTGACCAATGGAGTAAACCTTTCCATTATTTTCTCTTAAACTCTATATCAGAAGAAGAAACGGTTATTAAATATGTGTGGCTTTTAATGAAACTTAAATAAATGTCTGAAGTCAAATAAAAACAAATCCCCCAAGGACAGCAGGAGGAGCTAAGCTCTACATTACTCATGGTTACTTGTACTGAAGTACCGTTCTTATTTTGCTTTGGATGAATTCTTGCTCATGGGCAGAATGGATTGTGAGAAGATCACTGTGCAGCCAGCCACAGACAAACTCAAAGGCGGACCATTCCGAGGCATGTATATGAAAAAGGTACTCTGCATCCTGATAAAAGAGCCAGGGTGCATCTGAAAGAAAAATAAACAACGCAAGTGATATAAAAACTATTGACAAATACAATGCAGACTTACATAGGATATGCTATGATGCACCCCAAATTTGTAATTTGGTCACTCAGCATTAATGTAAATAAGTATATTTAAACACTTGCTTATTTTCCTTAGTCTGTCTCATGTAAGAAACCTTCATTTGTGCCCCGGTTGGTGGAGCTCAGTGGACTGAGTGCAGGCCTGCAAACTAAAGGATCGCTGGTTCAATTCCCAGGCAAGGCACCTGCCTGGGTTGTGGGCCAGGTCCCCAGTAGGGGTGTGTGTGTGAGAGGGAACCACACATTGATATTTCTCTCCCTCTCTTCCCCTTCCCTTCCCCTCTCTTGGAAAATAAATTTAAAAATATTTTTTTTAAAAAGAAAACTTCATTTGTATTCAAAGTTCTGGGATAGATGCATATTTTAAAATTATGTGTTGTGAAAACAGAGTTAAGCTATGACATTGGTCTTTAATCACATTTAATGAAAATTATTAAATGATTAATTATTAATACATTAACTTGAACAAATTGGTTCTAGATTAACATAAGAAAAGAGACTTGATTGGAGGGCTGTAATAATAGAGTAATGGTATATAATAGCACCTAATTAGAAATTCAAGAACTGGAAGGACAGTTCTTACCATACTGGTACCAGGGTGGAATCTTGGGTTTCACATCTGCAAAGTGAGAACAAACCATCCTGAGTAACCTTTCTTCAAAGATTCACTGTCTCTGAATTGCTTCAGATCTAAACACAATACTTTGTACTTCCCCATTTAAAAACCAGGTTGTGTGTGAGATTTGGAATATGGTTAGTTCTCATACGTGAGGAGGAGGCTTAAGAGAGGACTCTGACTAAAGAAGGAAGGATGTGAGGCCCTGCTTGTTGGGGTCCTGCTATTTGTCACACACTCTGTGAGGTGCTTTCACAGACTCATTTGACAAGTGATTTTGTTTTCTTGTGAGGTCACCATGACATCTCTTCCAGACTGGACTCGCTGAATGAAGTACAACACAACATAGTCAGTTACCCTCATTTCCTGTAACTAACTTAGCATACTGTACTCATGTCCCCTTAGTTCACCCTCCCACGATATACATTCCTTGCTAAAATGGTGCAGTTGGTTCATCATGAAGGTTGCTGGTACTGTCATCCAAGGTGCTTGCATTTTAGATCCCCACCTCTTCACTCGGGAAAATGCTGTATAAATTAGTAAAAGGCAAATATATAGTAAAGTTCTTCTTAATAGTTTTACCTCTTGGAATTTTGCATATCCATTCACGTTCGGCACCACAGTGCAAGGGCAGCAATGTTTTATTTGCTTTATAAATGGCACAATTTCTTGTATCATCTCCAAAATATGTATTGTCTAAAAATGAAGAGACAACCTGCAGCAGATGAAGTTCATTATTCCTTAATGATGATTCCCTCACAAAAAAATCAAAAGATCAAAAAAAGGCATTCTTGTAAATAAACCATGACTGACTTCGGAGGAAGCTTCAGAAATGTCTGGGTATGATTCCAGTTAAAGGTTGTTCCCCATTTGTGAAGAACAAGCTTATCAGATTTTATCATTTTTCTGAAAAATGCTTTTTTCCTTAAAAAGAAGCATGCTACTCCTTTCTCCAGAAAAACAAAGCAGATGCATGCTTCCTTCTGAACTTGCACTGTTTCGTCACTGGTGGGTGGGCTGGTCCGGGGGTCCTGGGAAAACTTCTTAGAGGCTCATGGGCCTGTCAGACTTGGGTCTCATATTTGAGGTATCGTTTTTTTCCATGTATAATGTGTACTTTTTTGCTCAAATTTTTGAGGGAAAATAAGGATACACACTACACATGGGTAGTACTTATTTCATGTCTATGTAAATGTTTTTAATACTTTTATTTATGCTTTTGTGTTAAAAATGTAACTTGAGAAAGTAATAACGATATTCATATGCAAAATAATACCCTGGAGTACAATAATCAGTTTTGTTCCTAAATAAAAATAAATACAAATTGAATTAAATAAGTAAAATGAAAGATTTTTTTTCCTGAACGTTTCGGCCAAAAACAAGGGTGAGCAATTTACATGACAAAGTGCAGTAGGTTCTTTTGTACAGACATTAAGCTTTTAGATTCTAATTGCTAAATTCTAACACACCACTAGCTTTAATCAGGAAACTATCCAACATTTTCCAAGAATTATCACACAACAGGGGTATTAAAAAAGATTCAACTTTTTCAATGATTTGTTGATGACCTGATAGAAGTGTAGATGGACCACAGGAGAAATTAGGTTAAGAATTTGGAAAAAAGAGGATGTTTTAAAATCATCTCCACTTTTCTTCAGACATGTACACTGTCATGCAACAATCCCTCTAACTTAAATAAATGTAAACTAGGGCTCAGAGAACAGCATGGGTTTGAATATTCCATTTATCCAGTGGGTAAGGAACTCAGCACGATGCTTCACGGGTTTATCTCCTTTATTGTGAACCAAAATGCCTATTCCTCTCCTATTACTACGAAGTTTGCTTTACTAAAATGAAATAGAGCGTCCTCCACCTCTGTGTCCACATGCCACTTTTAAGTGCCATATTGATTTTGACCACCCAACTACGCCATGTGCGGGGGTCGACCCTGTCATACCCCTTCTGCTTTCTGGGCCTCTGTTTCTTCATCAGCAAAATAGACGGGTGGGGCCGGCTGATCTTTAAGATCTCTTCCCACTCTCTGGTTCTGATACCCTTTTCAAAGAAGCAGTACATGGGTGGAAGACTCTGGCTTTTTAAAAAATAGCATGTCCTTGTTTTTTCTCACTGTAAGCATGTAGCTTTTCCACAAATCTCTCCCTTGACACAGATCTGAACGCTATGTTGCAGGCCTTGAGATCCCATTTCTCTGTTGATCGTTACTACGCCACAAATATCAGTCTAGCTACTGATATCTGACAACTAGGAGACATTATAATGCTGCGGCTTTGGTGGCAGACCACCTGTATACCAAATCATGGCTCCCCTAGATATTATTCTAGGCAAATTAACGAATCACTTTAATCCTCACTGCACTGAATTATGGTAAGAAGGAAAGAGATGATGCAGAAGGGCCCTCAGCTGAGAACTGAGGGCAGCATGGGAGCCCTGTGAACGGGCTGCATTAAATGCTCACTGTAGACTGTTTCCGGCGGCCTTGTTCACAGGTGTAGCTGAGTAACTCGATTCTGCCTGTGCCCTCAGATGGACCCCATTTCAACCTGGGATACCGCTTCTGTTATTTTTCCCCCATCCTCGTTAGGAAAATGTGAGAATGCAGCTGAAAAAATAAGTGGTCGAGAATTCCCTCTTTCCTTCACAGAGGTTTTTTACAAGTATGAGGCTTAATGAAAGCGCAAGTCTTTCTTTTTTCCCTTCCAAACAACTTGCTTTGGCTGAGGAGGAGGAGATATTTTTAAGACTGGGATTTCTGTCCTTTTAGAGTGAGATAACTAGAAAATAGTTCTTTTTGTTCTGTCACAAAGGATGAGGGTTCTACAATCACCTAATAAGGTGCTAGACTGACAGGGAGGGTGGATTAGAGGAAGCCTAGTATAATTTTAAGGAACAGCGGCTTCTTTCATGGAGACTCCTTAGACAGTTAAGTGGCTTGCGGACCTTTCTGGAGATTTTGATGCCTTTTCAGGATAAGAGCCTATAGAACTATCTGAACTATCTGGCTAGCAAAGATTTCCTAGGATGTTGCTGAAATAACTCTCTGGTACCAGGGTCTGGCATTGTCTCTGACTTGGATCTGAGTCATGGGAAATAGGGTCATTACTTCCAGGTTCATTTGCCTGGTTTACCAAATAGTCCAGGGCCACCTGTTTTAAATTCATTTCCTTTTCTCTGGTGTGGAAAGACTTACAGGAGTTCCATCAGACCACTCCCAAGAGCCGGCGGCCAGTGGGCTTCTCTTATTAAATCCAATCCAGAACTGCCTTTCTTCTGTCCTGTGAAGAGAAGAAACAAAAACTTGGCCTTTCCCATGGACTTCACAACATTATGAAAAAGGTTCAAATAAATATTTGTGTGTGCAGGAAGCAGCTGATGCTCCTGGCAGGACTGGTCAAGTCCAGCAAACACATACTGAACGTTCGTTTGTGCAAAGCCTGAGGTCTGAAATGAACTGAAAGGAGATTAGCCTCGCTTCCTCTTTCTCTAGGTTTGTATGGTGTCCAAACCATACAAATCATTGTCCCTGTTGACAACGTGGCTTTCTCCTGTTCTTCAGGAATGGTAACACTTTTCAGTCAGGACAAGGACAAGTGAAGGCAAGTTGGTAAGAGATTTGGGACTTCTCTTCCCTAGAGGACTTTTACTACTTTACTATTTATACTACTGTAAAAAGCTTTGATTTTTTGGTCACATGTGCATGTATTCTCTGAAGGTTAATCACCACTACCCCTGTTTTAATAAGAGGTACATGGCAGGGTTTTTTTTGTCAGATCCCAACATGAATGTTTCCACAGCAAGTCAGTCTGAGGCAGAGTCGGTTAACTTCAGCAGTCACCACTGGGTCAGACTTGGCAAGAAGCCCCAGAGAAGCATCTTCCCCATTACAAGAGAGAGGACTAATATGTCACACCACAGACTGTTCAATAAATCAAGCAGTAAAGCCTCATTGTACAGAGCCATCTCACTAAGACCATCTACTGAATCTGTTGCTGTTCTTTTAAAAAGTTTTATAAAAAATATTTTTATGCTATTACAGTAGTCCCAAGTTTTCATCCTTTGCCCCTTATTAAGATCATTTTTAGAGTAATTTTGAAGAATTAAATATTTATAAGCCCTGGTCGGGTAGCTCTGTTGGTTAGAGCATGGTCCCCAGTACGCCACAGTTATGGGTTCAATCCCTAGCCAGGGCACATACAAGAATCAACCAATGAATGCATAAGTAAGTGCAACAATGAAACTGATGTTTCTCTCCCTGTCTCTCTCTCCCTTCCTCTCGCTCTCTCTAAAATCAATCAATAAAATTTTTTTTAAAGATCTATAAGATTCAGGAGTCATGGCAGATGCTTTAATCACCTTATGCAGAGAAGCAAGCCTATTCTTAGGCAGATACCTGAGCTTCTCTGCCTGAGATACAAATGAGAGTAAAATGTGGCTTAGAAAATCCGAGAGATCCCTGGGGCTCGAAGGGCCACTGCCGTGATTACACCTTACCTTCAAGGCTGTGGAAAGGTGGGACTGCGGCCTCTCAGTGAGGCCGATCCTACTAATCTCAATGTCCTAGCCTGGAAATCCACACTACTCGCCCTACATTGAGAGCCTTTTATTCCTTTCCTCACTGAATTCACTTCTACAGTTTTCCTGCTGTGTACTGGCTCATAGAAGAACTGGTATTTATTTTGCCTCCATCAATTCCCTAAAATTGTATAATTTCTAAGAATGCAGTTAATTCTATAACTAATAAAATACAAAAGCAGTGCCCTCGGAAAGAGAAGTTTATATGCTAACTATGAGAACGGGTTTATTTGCTATAATTAAGCATCGGGTTTGGCTGAACTCTCTGGCAGTCAGGGCAAAGGTAAAACATGCATTATATAGCCTTGCGATTAGGTACTGAAAATCAATAACTTGATAGATGCTCGGCAATAAATTCAACTAGAAATTCTAAGTGTGAGAACTTCTGTAAGTAGAAATGATATTTGATCTTACAGCAAACGTGGAAGTGGTTTGCATGTGGTCATTTCATACAGCAAAGCTCATTATATACATGTATGCAAGCATATTTTGCAAGTGGCTAAAGTCCTGAAGAGAAGTTACAACTCAGGACTACAGAGACTATCAGATACCCCTTGCATCTGCAGCTCCACCCCTGGTTAACAATTTAATTAACCAGGAAGCTTCTCAACTTTTCTTCAGCCTCAGAGAATCTGATTCAGCAGCTGTTGGGTGAGACCAGAGGGTTCTGTGTTAAAAGGTGTCCCAAAAGAGTGTGATAATCAGCAGGTTTGGGAATCCTGGTCTCTGGCCAGCACTTCCTGCAGAAACTAAAATTATATGAAACGTTGCTAAGTGTTCCTAAAAAAGAGTTTTGCGGTCAGAGAAAATGCTTCTGTCTAAAAAGCCCTTATAACAGTAATATATGTGGCAAATCTCCAAGATTGTATTGGGACACATTGCTTTGCAAACATATTTGACCATGAGACCCACCTTTTTCCCTCACAGAGTATGACATAAGGCACCCATTGGGAGACGGTGTCAGACTGCCACCTTTAAGGTCATTTTTGTAGGTTTTTGAGATGAGTAATTTGATACATGCTACATATTAACCTTCTTATGGGAAGGTTAGGATTTTCCTCCAAAAATAGTTCTGGATTTTCTCTGAGATTCAAGGATGTGTTTCATTGAAACTCCAGATTTCCAGACCTCGGGGGAAAGTAGCTGGCGTTATATTTGTTTTTGTTAAATACATGTATGGAGCCCTGGAGGTATGACTTCCCTTGGACCAGAACATCTTAAGGGGCGCTATTTTTGTCTGTCATACCTGCTGAATTCTCTAGTCTGCTGCACATATAACAGTGCCTCTCTTATAGAAGATATGCCCAAAATGTATCCTGCCTGACAAGACTATTCTAGGGAAAGGGGCCAAGGACCGGGAGACTTACTATAAGAGGACATGGTGGCTGTCTTCAAATATTAGAGAATAAATTAGACTTTATCTGTATTACTCTGGCTTACTAGAAATTGATCTTTGAAACCAGCATTTAACAATGGAATGGACTTTCTCCCAAGTAGGGAGCGCTTTGAACCTGAAAGGAATCGTGCAGACAGTGGGTGGCCACAGGAATGTAGTGGAAGGAACTCTCTGAATGTGGGTGGAGGGTAGCTCAAGGTCATTTGTGTTTTTTTTTTCAATTTAAATTTAATTGATTTTCTAACTTTATGGAATTCAAGATTCTGTAAATTTGCAAGATGGACGCAGGTAAGTGAACATGTTTCCTCAAATGTAAAGTAAGGGGGTTGGGTTGGATTTTTTAAATTAGTGGGGCTTTCATTTTTTCAGAGGAAATCTTACATGGACTTTGATTATACACAAAATACTAGAAGTGCAGCTGGTTGGAGCTGCTCAGTGAGCAAGGAACAGGGAGCTCTGTGGACGGGGCCCTATCTGCTCTTGGGGTTCCCGGGCCCCCGGGTCCTCAGTCAGCACTTTGCAAGCTGCTGGGCTCCATAATTTCTGTGTTTGGCAGAAAAGCTCTAAAATTTTGATTTTAGGCACACAGAAAAGATTTCAAACATGGAAACAAAGACTTCAAACATAAAAAATGCCACTTTGTTCTTCGTTTTATGGAATGAGAACTTGGTGCAAATATAAATGTAAACTTCTATATATTTTTTTCTTTCACAGCTAGTGGCTAGTGGGCTTTAGGCTTAAAACAATAATTGAGATTGTAAACAAATATTAGGGATACTCATTCCTAAGTAGGCATTACTGGGAGACAGAATATTTGATTGTAATTTTTCAAAGTTAACAAGTATTTACCAATTAAATTTTGAATGTAAAAGCTTATTCACAAAATTTTCTTCCTCGATATGGGCAAAGCTTGCCAGATGAGCTCCAAATTCTTCACAAAATGCTTCAGCTTCTCTCCATGTTCTTTTCATCAACACTTTTTCACTATGAAATACCTGTACAGTAAAAGAAAACAAAGTTGACACTGTCACAGATAAGGTGAGGCTATTTGATTTGAGACAAGAAAATAATAGTAAGTAATTGTTATCATTTTTCTTTGTTAAGCTGGATCCATTAGGGAAAAAGAACACTTACTGAACTGGGATATGTCTCTCATAAAACTATTATCTCATTTTATCCTCACAACAACTTTGAGGATAGGATAAACTGTTTTATCAATGAGCTCCTGAAGGATTCTTTTTTTTCTCCTAAATTTCCTATGACTCGTCCCATAAGAAATCATTTTCAAGAGATGAGGAGAGTTAGACTAAGACAAGTTACAGACTCTAGGCCACACAGCGACAAATGGGCAAAGCTAGAAATAGACCCAATACGCCTTGCTTTCAGAGTCCATCCCACCAGACTGCCTTCCAACAAATTAAAACTGGCCAAATAATCATAAGTCTGCCTGGTCCCTGCCAAGAAATGAAAGATGAGATCCGACACCTGTGGGAGGTCTATTGCTAGGGTCTTTGGGTCTTAGCTGTGTCTAAATTCTTTGCTGTTTCTCAGCTGTCCTCACAGTAACAGGAAGGAGTCAGAAAAATGGAGGGTCTGCTTTTGGTTTTCTTCAAGATCAAGGATGAGGAACTGAAGACCCAGAGCTCCAGCTCCTGTGCCTCTGCAACCTCCTCATTTGTTACTTTCCAGCACTAAGCCAAGGCCTCTGGTGCCAGCCTTCACCACGCTCCGATTTGCTGCGACCAGAATGAATAGGTTTCCCAGTCCTGTGGACAACAGCATAGCCTCTCCATCTTTTAAATTATATGTCAAAACTTGCCTCCTTTGGGCACCTTTCCTCACATCACTTTAAATTAAGAAATCCTACTGCCATGCCCATCAAACACACCGTATGTTTGTTGACATATTAGGATGACATATAATAGAAAAAGCTCTGGAATAGGAGTTCCAAGATCAGGGATTTATTCCAACTCTGTCAATAAAGAGTTGTGATCTTAGGTAAATCACTTCATCTCGATAGCCTCAGCGTACTCATTTCTAAGGGTTATTGTTCTGTGAGGTCGCTCTGAGCCTATTATTCTACGAATTGAATGTAAGATTATACACATGTACATTTAAACTCAGCGTATTCACAAACACACTGCTGTGAGTGGGCTCATATACCAGAGGAGACCTTGCTCCCATGATTTTGGAAATCTCTATTTATAAAATGAACCAAAGGAAAAAAATCATCCAACAAAAACATCATATTTCAAAAGTATAACTGTAATTTTCTGTGTATAATGCATAGTTTTTTGCCCAAATTTTTGAGGGAAAACTAAGGATGTGCATTATACATGGGTAGTGGTAAAACATGGATGCACATTATACACAGGAATACCTTCTATTTCCGACAAGAACATTATAGGTACTGATTTAAATCTAAGATCTAAAGATGTTTTGCAAAAACAATTCTTTGCACATTTATTTACACATACGCACATATCAGTCGTATGTATTTATGTGTTTGATCTTTAGGTGTCTGGCAAGCTGCAAATACTATCCTTAGCAGCAGAACCATAGTACAGTGTAGTATTCCACAATGAGGACTGTATTCATTTGCTTACACATGATACTGCACCGTTTTCATCCCCAGAACAATACTGACTGGGACCCTGATATTAATCCTCGTGAGGAGGACTTCTATGTCCCTGGGGATATCATTCTTTGGACTTGAAAAATATTTTGGAGTACAACTGAAATGATAAAGACAATTAACAGATGTTCATCAAGCAACTCTGTGTGTCAGGCACCGTTCAGTAATAAAACATTTGGGATACATGAACAAAATTGAAATAATGTTGGTCTAACTGAGAATGCCCATATAACTTTAACATCACCTTGAAGCAATTGGTGAGGCCTGGCTCTGACTCCCAGTCCAAATAGCAGGGCTGAAAGGGCCATCTCTCTTCATGCCCAGTTCTCTCCCTATTTTCCACTGGTTGCTTGCACAGGGACATTGCTTTAAAGTGTGTACAGTCTTTCACTTCCCAGCGGCCAGCTGGACTCCTTCCTCGCATGACAACGCAGCCACCACTGTAGCCTAAAAGCAGAAAACAACACTTTCAATACCAGTCGACTAGAACATTTTGTGCTCAGAAGACTTCTTTAGAGTGTTGAATAATTGACATCTCACAATGAAGCCAGCAAGAACACTGAAGGTGAAAAGGGATGCTTTTACTGGCATGATTATTTCATTTCTCATCCTCTCTAGAGAAAAGACTAGAAGATGGAAAACTGAGAGAAGAGAGACTGTGAAGCTTGAAATTTGGGCATTTTTGAGCTCGGATGGCAAATAATGGAAAACAAGGAGCTGTTGCAACTTGAAACTGAATTTGTCCCATATCTCATCAAACACCAACATCCCTCTACTTTGAATTACTGAGTTTTTTAACTGGGCAGAAAAAAGCTTAACTCACCATTTCTTGTGTATGAATGTATACTGTGTTTTGAGACTCTGGTATGAAAAATCAACAATGAAAAATGCATACTGCATATCCTCTGGGAAGTAGATTCAGCAGGAAAAATATGTAAGTGATGGATTTAAATTATTTGCAAGGTATACAACAGAAAACTAGACTGTAAACCATGGCAGAGTGGAGAGAATGAGATGAATTTTAAAACGGGGTCAAAGTCTGGGGCAAGAGTAGGGACAGACTCCAGGGAAAAGGGGAAGACCTTCTAGTTATGGACAAAATGCCATTTTATTATTTTCTGTATGTTTGAACACATGAAACATTCTCTTCCCCTGGAAATAATTTCTAAGTTAAGATCCTTGAGTTTGTCATCAAATTGACACAACTTACAAGACAGCTATAAATAGACTTTAAATTTCAGTGCATAGTAGAAAATAATCCCATTCCAGAAATAGAATAAAAACTGAGAAAGAATGAACTTTTTTCTTGAATCTAGAATGATCATCTAATTAATTAAAACATTAACAATAACAACAACAAAAATAACAACAATATCTACTTACCAGGCCAGGCTGTATGGTAGCTGCCAGACGCAGAGGACAAGGCCAAAGCAAACCAAACAAACAAAACCCAACTCTCAATTTAGTGTGAGGCACAGACACATAGATGCTTAATTGCAGTCAGCATAATGTGTGTAGTGCTATAGGAACCGTGTATGTTCTGATTTTTGCAGGAGACTTCAGAAGGACCCTGAAGTCTGCCTTAGGATGTCAGTAAAGGATCTGCAGGAAGTAATGTCTAAGCTGAGCTTTGAAGAACGAGAAAGAGAGAAGTTTTCAAGGGATGTTTAATAAAAACAACAACAGGTGATTATAGATGAAGCATCTGAAGACTTGTGATGATTTTGGACCTAAAGTCACTTTTAAAAATGTAGTCACTTTGTACTAGATAGTTGTCTTGCTCAATTTCCCTTTAGAAGTTATGGTTTCAATTTTTTAGATACAGAGCAACTGGCATCATCCTTGTCAGCTGTGGTTTGGTTTGTCTTATGCTGACAGAAAGACTAAAGAGAGGGAAAATGAAGAGTGAGATATGAAAAAAAGACAGATAAGATGTACACGCCCTGGCTGGTGTAGCTCAGTGGATTGAGCGCGGGCCTGCGAACCAGACAATCGTGGTTCGATTCCCAGTCAGGGCACATGCCAGGGTTGCAGGCAGGTTCCCTGCAGGCCAGTTCCCAGCAGGGGACGCACGAAAGGCAACCATACATTGATGTTTCTCTCCCTCTCTCCTTCCCTTCCCCTCTAAAGATAAATAAATAAAAATCTTTAAAAAAATCTTTAAAAAAAAAGATGTACAAAGAACCTCTCCTAAAGGAAAGGAAGAGTGTAAAATAGAGAAAGAATAAGGGATCTGCGCTTTCAACAATCCTGGGTCCACACTGTGGGTATCACAGCGCCAAGACAGTCCCCATCTTCAAGAAGCTCCCAGTCCTGTTTACATATGCAAAGAGACCCACAAAGGTGAAAATGACTCATCATGAACAAGGAAACATACTTAGTATGACTCTCATTGAAGAAAAGCAAGTCAAGAGAGAGTTGCTCCATACAAAGTCAGTTCCACTGAACAGAACAGCTAGTTAGTGTTAAAAATGGAGGATAGGGGACAGCCAAAGGAGAGAGATTATAGCATGCAAGCACAGCCTCCCAAGAATGGAGTTTTGTAGTCCCGTTGAATGTAATTTTGAAATGTAGCTCACAATCTGGTAGGATCTCGACCAGTAGAGGAGGTGCTGCATGCTCTGTGTGATGAAATGCTAATGCAATGAACTGTAGAAATCCACATGGAAGCCCAAAGTAACATATTAATAGGGTTGCTCTTGTGGGCTATAGGAAACCATGCACTCCCACCTGATTTCTCCGTCCTTTTTTTCCCCAGCAGCATTTGGCTTAGAGCTGGAAGTCTGGGGTTCTAGTTCCAGCACAAATACTTAGTAACTGGAAACCTGAACAGGTTAGATTAATCACAAAAAAGTTATCTAAAATATGAAGATAACAATCTCTTCTCATGGATTTCAATGAAAATAAAATAAAATAATGTATTAAAAGGCACCCTGAAAGATATAAAGGGCTATAACCACCCTTAAAATGTTGCTTCAATTCATATTTTGCCTGTTTTCATGATAAAAGCTGGGGGTTTGTGGCACAAATTCTGCCTGCAGGTTCAAAGAATTTTTATACAGCTTGAATCAGCAAGTTTAAAATGTAATATACTTTTTTGTTGGTCTTGCATTTTGTCTTACATTCCCACATCAGACAATGATTAAATAGCTTTGGTTTTGGATGCTACAGACATTCAACTCATCTTCATTAGTGCAGAAGGAGATGTTTGTGAACTGCTATGAGGATGAGAGGTGATGTAGGAGTGTTACTGCTATTCTAAATTGGTTAACTTAATGGAACATTTGACCCAAATTTTAGAAGCTCAGCCCCAAAGAAGCAGTAAAGTGGTATAATAAAGGGAGATTGGGCTAAGGGAGATATAAACAAAATTTATAATAATATATTATGGGGATACTTGCAAAGCCAAATAATACAGGTAGGGTGTGGGAAAGAGCAGAGGTGGTTTTTCTCCCAGAGAAACTGTTCTCAAATTCAATAACACATTTCCCACTGGAGAAGAAAAACGATCATCCTGCTCCACGGTGATGACTCTCACATCTCTACCAACTCTCCTGATCTGTCGTACCCTCTTCTACTGTCCCCCACCCTTGCCATCTCTCTCTGTCAAATATGAATCAGAAAACTTTCAGTCAATTAAGAAATTCCAATTCAGTCTTCTAGTCTCTTCCATTTGGCAAAGCTATCTAACCAAACAAGATGAACTGAGCTGGGAAAGCCTCCACCTTCCACCTCTCTGCACAAGTACCTGAAAACAAGCAAGACCTACTTGTGGCCTCAGGGCTAGCAGGGAACTGTAGCTGGGCCTTCTCCATGGAGAAAAGTGAAGCTGTCAGGGTAGGGAAGGTAAGCTTTCCTGGAGTTCTATCTGCCAGGTTCTGAGCTAGGCATTTAATATGGTCTATTCCCTGTTGAACTTCAAAAACAACTTGAGGCAGATATTAGCATTTACAGTTTGCAAATGGCAAAACAGAGTCATAGAGGCTCTATAACTTGCCTAAGTCCACATAGTGAGGATTTGATCTAGAATTTGGAAGCAGATTTATTTGACTGTCCTACGAGACAATGTTAAGATACAGAGTAGGCAGGCATTCAATCAATAGTTGTTGAATGAATGACTGAATCTTCCCCTCAGATGATTTTCATCCATTTCCACGGAGCTTCCTCTCATGTCTCTGGTCATGTTCTCTCCTTTGTGTGGCTATAGCATTTCCTTGAAGATCTATAATCACATCCTTACCTTGTATGATAACTACCCATATGATTATATAAAGCACCAAAGGATGCTCTGATTGAGTTTGCCCTCATTTACATAGTGGTCACGTCAGAGCTCTGATGAGCCCGACAGTGGATTCACCTGTCTATCCCCTGGCTGGACTGGCTTCTTAATACTCCTCGCTTAGAGCAGGGCACTTTCAAGAAAACAGACCTGACTTGCTTTACTGGATCCCATTTTCCTCGTCACTGGCAGATTTCCCCTGACTTGGGGCAACTGGGGTAAATGTGCACTGGATTTATTTCATAGGAATGAAATATGCCTTTTCTGCAGTGTTATCTAGGTCTAGAAACACAAAACTTTTGTCACAAAGCCCGAGCTATGGATGGATGCAAACCAGCGATGTCAAAGTGTTTCTTTTTCACTGTACAGACATCTACGAAACTCTAATATAACTTGAAAAATCTTTTTCAAATGTCCTAACTAGTATGGACTCACCTGTTTTCTTTCACAACTAAGCAGCCTCCATTTTTATTAAATCTTTGAACTAAGTACAAAGTGTGTTTTAGTTTCTAGGCATTAGCTTCCCCCCAAATGAGAAAGGCCCTGTTTCTCAGTTTCCCTTTAATCAGTGACACTTGTTAGTAAGGACAAAAACTGTTTTTCCTGTGTTACCTAACTAGTTAATTCTCTCCCGATACCAAGTACCATAGAGTCCTTCATTGTTGTTATTTGTTTTAATAAAAACCAGAATTTCCTAGTGTTTTGAGAACAGGAAATTTGGTCATGAAAGAAAAGAAATACAGACATAAAACAGGTTAAGCAAAAACCTTATAGTCCTGAATTCAAATTGAAATGATCAGTTTGAACCCCGGAAGTATTTCATCTTACACACGCACACATGCACACACATTTTCTAGCTCTGTTCACCAAACTGGCTGAGAAGTAATAGAAACCAACAAGCAATGAACACTCCTGTGCATGGATTGTGGTACTGAAGTAATGCCATTTCCCATTAAGATGAATCAGGGTTCCTTGGTGAATTGGATGTTTCTCAGTTCAGAGCAGAAATGTACATCTTAATCATACCAAATAGCAGAGAAGCTACCAAAGGCTACTAGTGTTATAGTAAAAGGACTCAGGAGGTAGTGCTTGAGATTTTCATTTTCATTAAAAAGATGATAATTGCAGTGGATTAAAACATACAAATATGTTTTAAATCTTTATAATA